CCCTTCCTCTCTGTAAAATATCATTAAAATATATTTAAAAAAAAAAGTGTACACCTATGGATGAGGACAGTGGGGGGGTGGATAAGGGCAGAGGGTGGGGTGGGAACCAGGTGGAGGGGAGCTATGGGGAAAAAAGAGGAACAATTGCAATAATCCAAACAATAAAGATTTATTAAATAAAAAAAATGTGCATTGAATTTTATTTTTTCAATTTTTTCCAAACATATTTTATTGATTTTAGAGAGGAAGGGAGAGGGAGGGAGAGAGAGGAGAGAGATAGAGATAGAAAGAGAGGGAGAGAGACATCAATGATGAGAGCCATTGATCAGCTGCCTCCTGCACGCCCCCTACTGGGGATCGAGCCTGCAACCCTGGCATGTGCCCTTGACTGGAATCGAACCTGGGACCCTTCAGTCCTCAGGCCCGAGGCTCTATGTTTCTCTCTCATCGATGTTTCTAACTCTCTATGCCTTCCTCTTCCTTCCTCCTGTAAAAAAACACACACCCAACAATATATCTATATATCTATATCTATAACTATATCTATATCTATGAATTCCCGTATACTAAATTCATTCCCCAAGGTCAGCAGTGAACATGAGTGCTTTTGCTTCATCTTTCTCTCTTTCTCTGTCTCTCCTTCTCTCTCTCACACACACCTCTTCTCTCAACTGTTTGTCGTTGCAGGCTTGATATCCCTTTATCCCTAAAAACTTTGATACCCCTTTACTTTATGTATTTCCTAAAAACAGCAGATTCAGAGAGAGGAGAGAGAGAGAGAGAGAGAGAGAGAGAGAGAGAGAGAGAGAGAGAGAGAGAGAGAGAGAGAGAGAGAGAGAGAGAGAGAGAGACTTGGACGCCAGGATGCGGAAACCAGAGGGCATTGTGGGAAAATCCTCTCAGCACCTGGGACAGCGCCCAGCACTCAGGCATGCATTAAGGACATGCACCCCGGTATGTAAACAGGCACTGCCTGTGGAGGTCAGAGGGAGGATGGAGACATCCTGGGTGTGTCTGAGAACCGGGTGGGCGGCGCCCAGCGGAGGAACCTGCGTGCATTGCTCCTGTATGATGACACCGGCAGCCAGGGGTGCCCAGGCCTTCACGGGGGGGTCAGGTCTTGGTTGCAGGGCAGCCCCTAAAGTCTAGGACAGGAGCCAGCCAACCACAGACCACGCCCTCTGCCTTTTTATTTATTTATTTATTTATTTATTTATTTATTTATTTAGGTCTCATTTTAATATATGTTATTGATTTTTTACAGGGAGGAAGGGAGAGGGATAGAGAGTTAGAAACATCCATGAGAGAGACACATCAATCAGCTGCCTCTTGCACGCCCCCTACTGGGGATGTGCCCGCAATCAAGGTACATGCCCTTGACCGGGATCGAACCTGGGACCCTTTCAGTCCACAGGCCGATGCTCTATTCACTGAGCCAAACCGGTCAGGGCTTAATTTATTTTTTATTTTTATTGATTTCAGAAAGGAAGGGAGAGGGAGAGAGATAAAAACATCGATGATGAGAATCTTTGGCTATCTCCTACTGGGGATCGAGCTCACAAACTGGGCATGTGCCCTTGGCCGGAATCAAACCTGGGACTGTCTAGTCTGCAGGCCCTCTCTATCCACTTAGCCAAACCAACCAGAGCATATATATATATATATATATATATATATATTACTCTAGGGTCTAGTTTTTATTTTATTTTAATTTTTATGCTATATTTATTTCAATAACCTTCTTCTTTTTTAAAAGATTTATTTTTAAAAATATACTTTATTGATTTTTTTATAGAGGGATAGAAAATTAGAAATATCGATGGGAGAGATACATCAATCAGCTGCCTCCTGCACAGCCCCCACTGGGGATGTGCCCTCACCAAGGTACATGCCCTTGACTGGAATCGAACCCGGGACCTTTCAGTACTCAGGCGGACGCTCCATCCACTGAGCCAAACCGGTCAGGGCCAAGGACCCATTATTTACATACATTCTTACACGGGGAAGGCTGGATCCAAACTATGCCCAGATGGTTTTGCCAGGTATGGGAATGGCTGTTAGGAAGTCTGCAGTAACTGACACTCCCATCGGCTGGTATGTGTACCTGTTTTGCCACATCCTTGTCGACGCTGGGTATCATCACTGTTTTGGGCCTGCCAATCTGATAGGCGGGAAATATGTTGTTATGATCCTAACGAGCTTTTCTCTGACTCTCAGGAAGGCTGAGCAGCGTCACGACATTTCTTAACGCACTTTTATTATTATTAATTATTATTATTATTATTTTAGGTTCCCCTTTCTCTGGGAAGCGTTCCCTCACGCCTAGACTGAATTTCTGATAACAGAGCCTGGGCCCAGAGCTTACCAGCCCACTCCGGAAAGGAGACTCACCTTTCCAAGAACGAACATAGTTAGCTCTAAAGGACAAAGGCCGCGGAACCAAAGCGAACACATTTCACTCCACGTCCAGAAAACAAAACATTACGTCCACCGTCCGCTTCATTGTCCGAGCCAAATATTAAAAAAAAAAAAAACTCTTGGGACAGTTGGAAACAATTTGTCAGTCCAACATTTTTCACTTCAAAGCGTTCTCAAGGATGTCTGCTGATTGCTGACAAAGCCGATCCAATCACAAACTAAACCAAGCACTTGTTGCCAAGTTATTTCCAAAACAAAAACCCTAAACGTCCCCAGGGCTGTTTTTCTTTTTAGCCAGCTTTGTCGCAGTGTGATTGGCATGTAATGCGTTCACTATTTTTTATGTTTGTTTTTATTTTATTAATCTTTTACAGAGAGGAAGGGAGAGGGATAGAGAGCCGGAAACATCGATGAGAGAAACACCGATCAGCTGCCTCTTGCACACTCCCCACTAGGGATGTGCCCACAAACAAAGTACATGCCCTTGATGGGGATCAAACCTGGGACCCTTCAGTCCGCAGGCTGGCTCTCTATCCACTGAGCCAAACCGGTTGGGTTGGCATTCATTTTTTGTAAGTGAAGGCCGAGACTTGTCCTATGTATGCAGTCAGGTGTATAACCGTCCGTAGGATGAAGACAGAGACTTTCTCCAAACCCCTCCAAATTCCCTCCCAGTCACCTGCCCTGCCCCGCTCCCTCAGCCCCAGCCACTGATCTCCACCCTTCACTGTAGCTTTAACTTTCCTGGAATTTCAGGTCACCGGATCTTACAGCACCAATCAGTCCTTAGGGTCTGCCTTCAGGGTCCCTCAGATCCAGGAGTCAAAACACCCAGCCCTCCTCCCTCAGACCCAGGAGCCCAGGCCCCAGCCCCTCCCTCAGACCCAGGAGCCCAGGCCCCCAGCCCTCCTCCTTTAGACCCAGGAATCCAGGCCCCAGCCCCTCCTCCCTCAGACCCAGGAGCCCAGGCCCCCAGCCCTCCTCCCTCAGACCCAGGAGCCCAGGCCCCCAGCCCTCCTCCCTCAGACCCAGGAGCCCACCCCTCCTCCCTCAGACCCAGGAGTCCAGGCCCTCAGCCCTCCTCCCTCAGACCCAGGAGCCCAGGCCCCCAGCCCTCCTCCCTCAGACCCAGGAGCCCAGGCCCCCAGCCCTCCTCCCTCAGACCCAGGAGTCCAGGCCCCAGCCCTCCTCCCTCAGACCCAGGAGCCCACCCCTCCTCCCTCAGACCCAGGAGTCCGGGCCCCCAGCCCTCCTCCCTCAGACCCAGGAGTCCAGGCCCCCAGCCCTCCTCCCTCAGACCCAGGAGTCCAGGCCCCAGCCCTCCTCCCTCAGACCCAGGAGCCCAGGCCCCCAGCCCTCCTCCCTCAGACCCAGGAGCCCGGGCCCCCAGCCTCCTCCCTCAGACCCAGGAGCCCAGGCCCCCAGCCCTCCTCCCTCAGACCCAGGAGTCCAGGCCCCAGCCCTCCTCCCTCAGACCCAGGAGCCCAGGCCCCCAGTCTCCTCCCTCAGACCCAGGAGCCAGGCCCCCAGCCCCTCCTCCCTCAGACCCAGGAACCCAGGCCCCAGCCCTCCTCCTTCAGACCCAGGAGCCCAGGCCCCCAGCCCTCCTCCCTCAGACCCAGGAGCCCAGGCCCCAGCCTTCCTCCTTCAGACCCAGGAGTCTAGGCCCCAGCCCTCCTTCCTTAGATCCAGGAGCCCAGGCCCCCAGCCCTCCTCCCTCAGACCCAGGAACCCAGGCCCCAGCCTCCTCCCTCAGACCCTGGAGTTTGGAAACCCGAGGTTTCTGGTTTCTGAGCATCGGAATCCTAAAATTCAGCCATAGCTGTTTCTCTCTCATCGATGTTTCTAGCTCTCTATTCCTCTCCCTTCCTCTCTGTAATAAATCCATAAAATATATTGAAAAACAAACAAACAAAAACAAACCCATTGGTTATGCTGATAGGCATGCGTACAAGTCCTTTGGTTGCTCTCTAAGCGTGTGAGAAAGGTCTAAACACATTTTTAGACCAGGCCATAGGCTGATCTGTTGGAAAGACCCCCAGGGGGACAGTCCTGCAGGATTGGAATCCTGGATTCATCCCAGAACTGAGCTGCGCTTTGCAGCAGGACGAGAGTGACGTCAACCCAACACAGCACAGGCCCCGCCACCTCTAGCAACGCCCACAGCCCTAGGCCACGCCCACATCAGCAGTAAACTACATTTCCCAGCAGCCACAGCGCTCACGCCCCACCCATAGGTCCCGCCCTGGAAGCCCCGCCCTCCGTCAGCCACGGCCACAGCCTCGTAAACTACATTTCCCAGCAGCCATAGCGCTCACGCCCCACTCATAGGTCCCGCCCTGGAAGCCCCGCCCTCCGTCAGCCACGGTCACAGCCTCGTAAACTACATTTCCCAGCAGCCGTAGCGCTCACGGCCCACCCCCATAGGTCCCGCCCTGGAAGCCCCGCCCCCTGTCAGCCCCGCCACGCCAAGCCACGCCCCTTTCAGGAAGTCCCGGGTTCCAGCCCCGCCGCCTGCCCTTCCCCACGTGGATCCCGGGTCGCAGGCTCCTTGGAGCGATCGCGCGGCGGCTGTGCCCGGCATGAACCGCTACCTGGTGCCCGTGTCCGTGCTGGGCACGGCGGTGGGCGGCGCCGTGCTGCTCCGGTGAGTGCGCGCCGGCTCCGGTGTCTGCAGCCGGGGGAGGGGCGGGGAGCCGGGCGGGGACCACGGAGTCATCGCCCGCCAGCCAGCCCCCGCCTGCAGCGCCCCCCGGGGGACGTGGGGACGCCCCGGAGCCCCGAGAGGGCAGGTCACCCCAAGGTCACGCAGAGGAAGGGGCGGGCCCGGGCCCTGGGAAACGCGCTGGTCTAGCGGCTTCCGGGCTTCTCATTCATTCACTCATTCATTCATTCATTCATTCATTCATTCATTCATTCATTCCGTAGATCGGCTGGGCCGGGGTGCAAGGGAAAGCGTGTGTGCCCCCTAAACTCTAATCCGCCATGAGGGGAACAGGGAGAACTGTGCAACTCCACGCAGGAAAAGCTCGTGTTGCATGGTGTGTGTGTGTGTGTGTGTGTGTGTGTGTGTGTGTGAGTGAGAGCTCATTTAAAAAACAAAACAAACCCATTGGTCATGCTGGCAGGCACGCGTACCAGTCCTTTGGTTGCTCTCTCACGCCCTCCCCACCCTCCCTGCATCTGTCTCTATAAGTGAGGTCATGCGATGTTTCCCTTTCTCCGGGAATGGCTGGGGGGCGGGGGAGGGTCAATTGGAGACAAGGGAGACAGACATGTAAAACTTTAGACAATAAAACAAACACACAAACACCACAAACAAAAACAAACCCCAAAGAACAGCTACCAGCTGCTCTATAGCAGCAGCTGTTCGGTAGAACTTACTGTGGTGATGGAAGTATTTTTTTTAAAATTAAAAATACTAGACACCTGGTGCATGAAATTCATGCTCGGGGGACCCCCTCAGCCCAGCCTGCACCCTCTCCAATCTGGGACCCTTTGGGGAACACAGCTCAGAGGGTGGGGTCGCTGTGGCGCGTGGTCCGGCGGTGGAGCTGAGGGAGGGGCTCATTCTCACCTTCAGGGACTACGTCGCGGGCGGGGCCTGTCCCAGCAAGGCCACCCTTCAGGGCAAGACCGTCATCATCACGGGCGCCAACACGGGCATCGGGCGGGAGACTGCCTTGGAGCTGGCCAGGAGAGGTGAGTCCCATGGCAGGGCTTGGGGGCCCAGGGGGGGGGGCGGGGGTGGCAGAGGATGGGGACTGGGGGGCAGCAGGGCATTGGGGGATGGGGGCGGCGGGGTGTGGGGGGCTGATGGGGGGCAGGGTGTTGGGGGATGTGGGACAGGGAGGGACAAGTCCGCAGTCACGGGTGTAACGTGCAGCACAGGAAATGCAGAAAATCCCATAGAATAAAGAGCTAATAGGCAAACGGTCACACGCCCTCACGCCCTCTGCCCTCTCCATAAAAGCTCAGACACTCCACCCTGGGGGGAGAGGGATGGGGACGAGCCAGGTTTGTGGTCCAGGAGAGGGACAAGCCGCCTGCCCCGTGGTCCCGGGCACCTGCGGCTGCATCCGGGCAGAGTCGGTCTGGGTCCTGGGTGTCTGCGGCTGGACAGAGGGAGGGATGTCCTGGTCCCTGGTGCCAGCGACTGGCTGGAGGAGGGAATCCTGGGTCCCAGGTATGGGATGAGGCAGAGGCAGTTAGGGGCGAGCAGGCCAGCAGGGGAGCAGTTAGGGGCGATCAGGCCAGCAGGAGAGCAGTTAGGGGCGATCAGGCCAGCAGGGGAGCAGTTAGGGGCGAGCAGGCCAGCAGGGGAGCAGTTAGGGGCGATCAGGCCGGCAGGGGAGCAGTTAGGGGCGATCAGGCCGGCAGGGGAGCAGTTAGGGGCGATCAGGCCGGCAGGGGAGCAGTTAGGGGCGATCAGCAATCAGGCAAAGGGGTTAGGGGCAGTCAGGAAGGCAGGTGGGCAAGCAGTTAGGAGCCAGTGGCCCCGGATTGCAAGATGCAGTCAGACATTCCCTGAGGGGTCCTGAATTGGAGAGGGTGCAGGACGGGCAGAGGGATCCCCCAGTATGAATTTCAAGCTCTGGGCCTCTAGTGTGTGTGTGTGTGTGTGTGTGTGTGTGTGTGTGTGTGTGTGTGTATGTTTTTATTGATTTTATTTTTTTATTTTATTTTATTTTTAAAAAAATATATTTTATTGATTTTGTACAGAGAGGAAGGGAGAGAGATAGAGAGTCAGAAACATCGATGAGAGAGAGTCATCGATCAGCTGCCTCTTGCACACCCCCTACTGGGGATGTGCCCGCAACCAAAGTACATGCCCTTGACCGGAATCGAACCTGGGACCTTTCAGTCCCCAAGCCCACGCTCTATCCATTGAGCCAAACCGGTCCCGGCTGTTTTTATTGATTTTAGAGAGAAGGGAGAGAGAGAGAGAAAGAAACATCCATGATGAGAGAGAACCACGTACCGGCTGCCTCCTGCATGCCCCACACTGGGGATCAAGCCCGCAACCAGGCATGTGCCCTTGACCGGGAATCAAACCTGAGGCCTTTCAGTCCGCAGGCCGATGCGCTATCCACTGAGCCACGCCAGCCAGGGCTTTATGTTATTTTAATTTTTCCCGCCCGGGGCTTCCAGGTGGCAACATCATCCTGGCCTGCAGAGACATGGAGAAGTGCGAGGCGGCAGCCAGGGAGATCCGCGGGGAGACCCTGAACCACCGCGTCAACGCCCGGCACCTGGACTTGGCCTCGCTGAAGTCCGTCCGGGAGTTCGCCAGGAAGATCATTGAGGGTAGGCGGAGGGCGGGGGCCGTGCGGGGAGGCCTTGGGTGGCCAGGCTCTGAGGACCCAGGAATTTAAACCAAGCCTGCCCCTTAAGCTCACAAAGCCAGTAATCTCTACGGTCTGGCCCTGGTCCCTTAAAAAAAATATTAAAAAAAAAAAATTATTATTATTATTTATTTATTAAAAAAAATATATTTTATTGATTTTTTACAGACAGGAAGGGAGAGAGATAGAGAGTTAGAAACATCGATGAGAGAGAGTCATCGATCAGCTGCCTCTTGCACACCCCCCACTGGGGATGTGCCCACAACCAAGGTACATGCCCTTGACCGGAATCGAACCTGGGACTCTTGAGTTCAGAGGCTGACGCTCTATCCACAGAGCCAAACCGGTCAGGGCCCATTCCTTTCTTGTGGCTACATTGCATCTCTTTATGCGTTTATTGTGGCTGCTCGGTATTGGGCTCCCTCCTGTGGTCTGACGGGTTCCGGCCGCTTGGCTGCCAGCCCTCCCTCGGCTGCTGTGAAGGTCAGACCTCGTGTCCGTGTCATTTGACTCGCGGGTGACGTGTCTGCACATCTCGGAGGCAGCCTCTTCCTGTCCACCGGCTGCCTGTGAAGTAACAGCAGGGCAGCTGGCCGGACACAGAGGAGCGGGGCTGGGAATGGACTGTTTTCCCCGATGCGAAGAGATGCATGCTCCTGATGGGAAATCGGTAAATCCCGGAATAGTGATGAAGAACGAAACACCTTTGACTCCCCACCAACCTCAGGGACTCACTGCTAACGTTTCCCCTGCTGAAGGGTGAAGTTTTCTTTCTTTCTTTTTTAAAAAAAAATATTTTATTGATTTTTTTACAGAGAGGAAGGGAGAGGGAGAGAGAGCTAGAAACATTGACGAGAGAGAAACATCCATCAGCTGCCTCCTGCACACCCCCCGCTGGGGATGTGCCCGCAACCAAGGTACATGCCCTTGACCGGAATCGAACCTGGGACCCTTCAGTCTGCAGGCCGACGCTCTACCCACTGAGCCACACCAGTTTCGGTCAGACTCCCCTTTCCTGGGAGGACGCTGGTCCTGTTGGATGAGTGGGGTGAGGACCTGTGACCTCATCTTTACTCGGTTATTTCCGCGAAGACCCCGTCGCCACAGGAAGGACCCGGGCTCAGGGTCAGGGGTTCGGGGATGTGGGGGGACGGCGTGCGGCCCCGGGGCTGACGCCCTCGCCCCGGCCCTGCCTTCCAGAGGAGGAGAAGGTGCACGTGCTCATCAACAACGCGGCCGTGATGCGCTGCCCGCACTGGACCACGGAGGACGGCTTCGAGATGCAGCTGGGCGTGAACCACCTGGGTGAGGCCGCGCTGGGCACGCCGGGACGGGAGCCGAGGGGGTCCGGCACCGGCTCTGGGAGGGGCTGTCCACTTTCTTTCTTTTTAAATGTATTTTATTGATTTTTCACAGAGAGGAAGGGAGAGGGACAGATAGTCAGAAACACCGATGAGAGAAGAAACAGCGATCAGCTGCCTCCTGCACACCCCCTACTGGGGATGTGCCTCCAACCAAGGTACATGCCCTTGACCGGAATCGAACCCGAGACCTTTCAGTCCCCAGGCTGACGCTCTATCCACTGAGCCACACCAGTCAGGGCCATCATCTTTCTGTAGTCACTCTGTATGTACCTGGGGTTCTGTTAGGCAGGGCCAGGGGGCACTGGGACATATAGGATCAGGGCCCACCCTAATGACCTTTACTTTAACTTATCTCTCCAAACAGGGCCACATTCTGTGGTTCTGGAGGATAGGACTTCAATATATTTCTTTGGGGCATAGGGAGTAGGGAGACACAACTCAACCCTTAACACACACTCACACACACACACACACACACACACACACACACAAACACACACACACACACACACACACACACACACACACACACACACAATCATTTGCACCCTATTGGTTGGGGCTCAGTCACATGACCCATCTGGTTGCAAAGGAGCCTGGGAAATGTAGTCTTTCACTGGCCCGTCTTGGGCCCAGCTGAAAGTTTTATCTATTTACTGAAGAAGAAGTGGAGAAAAATTTTTGGGAGGCAAAAGGCAGTCTCCTCCCCAGCCAACCTCAGAGGGCTGGACATTTGGGGCTGGTTAGTTTTTTTTTGCAGGGACTTTGCTGTGCCTGGTGGGATGTCGAGCAGCATCCCTGGCCTCCACCCACTAGATGGCAGTGGTGCCCCTACTCTCCACAGTTATGACAAGCAAAATTGTCTTCAGATGGTGCCAGATGTCCCCTGGGGCCATGCTGCTTCTGGGCGAGAACCACCCATTATTGGGAGGGTGAGGTCAGGTGTGTGCTCAGCCCACTCCGGGCATGTGCTCAGACTTGAAGGACGGTTCTCTCTGTGTCCTCCTTCATCCAGGCCACTTCCTCCTGACAAACTTACTGCTGGACAAGCTGAAGGCCTCGGCCCCCTCGCGGATCATCAACCTCTCGTCCTTGGCCCACGTGGCTGGGCACATCGACTTTGACGACCTGAACTGGGAGAAGAGGACGTACAACACGAAGGCGGCCTACTGCCAGAGCAAGCTGGCCGTCGTCCTCTTCACCCGGGAGCTGAGCCACAGGCTGCAAGGTGCGTGCGGGCCGTGCCTCTTCCCGTGCCCTGAGCCTGGAGCGGTCCGCTGTGACCCCGGGCTGATGGGAGGTCAGGCATGGGCTCTAGGGCACACGAGGCAGATGCATGACACACACCACCAGGCTCCGCCCTGGTGCCTGAACAGACATCACCAATCAACCACCCTCCACCAGGCTCCCCCCCTGGTGCCTGAACAGACATCACCAATCAACCACCCTCCACCAGGCTCCCCCCCTGGTGCCTGAACAGACATCACCAATCAACCACCCTCCACCAGGCTCCCCCCCTGGTGCCTGAACAGACATCACCAATCAATCACACTCCACCAGGCTCCCCCCCTGGTGCCTGAACAGACATCACCAATCAATCACACTCCACCAGGCTCCCCCCTGGTGCCTGGGCAAACATCACTAATCAACCCCACACCACCAGACTCCGCCCTGGTGTCTGAGCAGACATAACTAATCAACCACACTCCACCAGGCTCCCCCCTGGTGCCTGAAGCAGACATCACTAATCAATCACACATCACCAGGCTCCCCCCTGGTGCCTGAGCAGACATCACTAATCAACCACGCACCACCAGGCTCCCACCAGTACCTGAAGCAGACATCACTAATCAATCACACTCCACCAGGCTCCCCCCTGGTGCCTGAGCAGACATCACTAATCAACCACGCACCACCAGGCTCCCACCAGTACCTGAAGCAGACATCACTAATCAATCACACTCCACTAGGCTCCCCCCTGGTGCCTAAAGCAGACATCACTAATCAATCACATCATTAATCACACTCCACCAGGCTCCCCCCTGGTGTCTGAGCAGACATCACTAATCAATCACACAGCACCAAGCTCCCCCCTCGTGCCTAAAGCAGACATCACTAATCAATCACACTCCACGGGGCTCCCCCCCCACCCCCGTGGCTGCAGCAGACATCACTAATCAATCACAATCCACCAGGCTCCCCCCTGGTGCCTAAAGCAGACATCACTAATCAATCACAATCCACCAGGCTCCCCCCTGGTGCCTGAGCAGACATTACTAATCAATCACACCATCTTCCCTGCTCCTCCAGGACTGGCCTGGAAGCCTCTGGTGCTCCAGGCCAGGGGACCTCTGGCAACATCTGGAGATACTTCCGGCTGTCACCAGGGGGGTGGTGTGGGTGTGGGTGGGGTGGGCTTTGCTACCTGCCTCTCGTGGACAGAGGCCGGGGGCACCCTGGAGGTTTTGTAGTATCAGGTGCAGGATTTGTAGTATCTTTTTTTAAAAAAATATATATTTTATTTATTTTTTACAGAGAGGAAGGGAGAGGGATAGAGTTAGAAACATCGATGGGAGAGAAGCATGCATCAGCTGCCTCCTGCACACCCCCTATTGGGGATGCGCCCACAACCAGAGGCACGGGTTACAGAGTGGCTGGACCTCGGAGTCCACAGTGCGGAGGGTGCAGATCCCGCCTTTCGCCCTCGCTTCTCATGGAGGGGGTGGGGCCAGCAGAGCCGCTCACCTGGGAGCCTGTCAGACTCTCCTCCAGGGGCGGGGCCGGGGGTCTGGGTTCCCCGATGCTCCATGTGACAGAGCCATGTGACAGAGCCACCTCGCACGATGAAGCCTGGAGCCACAAGGTGTTGCGGGTTCAAGGGCAGGAAATGGGCCGCCCCGGAGCTCGGGGTGGACAGCGTCAGGCTTGCTGGGAAGGAGCGAACCTGACATCCCTCTGCCCCCCACCCCTTCCTTCCCCTCCTCCCCCCAGGCACGGGCGTGACGGTGAACGCGCTGCACCCCGGCGTGGCCCGGACGGAGCTGGGCCGGCACACGGGCATGCACAGCTCCGCCTTCTCCAGCTTCACGCTCGGTGAGCCCCTCCGGCCCCCTCTGTCCCGGTGCCCTCGCCGAGCCCTTCCCTCCCGGCCCCAGGTGCCCTGGCCGAGCCCTGCCCTCCCGGCCCAGTGCCCTCGCCGAGCCCTGCCCTCCGGCCTGGGGCCCGGGAACCTCCTGCAGGGCATCGAGACCAGTGGGATATACACTGAGCGACCAGGTGATGATCTCTGAACGCATGATCATCCGGCCACTCGGTGTGTTAGTATTTCCAATGGGCACCAAACGTATTTCAGACTTCTGCTGGAGATCAACCAGCTATTTGCCCTGAGCTTTCTGTCAGCCGGTGCAAAGGGGAACACTGATCAGGTGCAGGATTTGTAGTATCTTTTTTAAAAAAAATATATATATTTTATTGATTTTTTTACAGAGAGGAAGGGAGAGGGATAGAGTTAGAAACATTGATGGGAGAGAAGCATGCATCAGCTGCCTCCTGCACACCCCCTATTGGGGATGCGCCCACAACCAAGGTACATGCCCTTGACCGGAATCGAACCCGGGACCCTTCAATCCTTGGTTGCAGGCACATCCCCAGTGGGAAGCATGCAGGAGGCAGCTGATCAATGTTTCTCTCTCATCGATGTTTCTAACTCTCTATTCCTCTCCCTTCCTCTCTGTAAGAAATCAATAAAATATATTTTTAAAAGATCAATAGAAAAATATCCTCGGGGGTGGACTAACAACAGCAAAAAGCGATTTTAGAGCAAGATGGGGTATGGTGGGGACTTGGGGCTGATGGACAGGAGGGAAAACCCAGGAGGGCTTCCTGGGGGAGGCAGTCCCGGAGGGATGTGGTAGGGAAGGGGAGGGAGCCGCAGGAGCAGAGGCCCGGAGGGGGGCTCAGTGGGACTCCCGGCTCACCTTTGGCCTGCCCAGCCCTGCGTCTTGGGGTGGAGTAGGGCCTTTGGGGTCCCCCTCGCTGATGCCTGTGGACTGAGCGCTCTGCGGCCGGTTGCAGGGCCCATCTTCTGGCTGCTGGTGAAGAGCCCCCAGCTGGCGGCGCAGACCAGCACCTACCTGGCCGTGGCCGAGGACCTGGAGGGCGTCTCCGGGAAGTACTTCGACGGACTCCGGGAGAAGGCGCCGGCCCCCGAGGCCGAGGATGACGAGGTGGCCCGGCGGCTCTGGGCAGAGAGCGCCCGCCTGGTGGGCTTGAAGGTGTCGTAGGGGGTCCCTCCCACATCCCCCCACTATACCTGGGAGCAGGTGTGAAACAAGCCATCAGGATGGAGCTGCAGGACCAAGGCTGGCTGCCGTGCCCACGCCACCCGCTAGGTGGCAGCATCGGACAAGCCTGCAAATGAAGGACCCTGCCTGCCTGCCTGCCGTACCCGCAGCGACCGCTAGATGGCAGCATGGACCGAGGGATGCTGGCTGCCATGCTCACAACGCCCTCTAGATGGCAGCATCGGCCTTTCCATGCTCCCTCTGGCTTCTGGCCGCTGTGGACTGGGTTGCAGGTGCGTGCACCTGAGCCAGGGGCTGCCACAGGTGAGCCAGGCCACCGGCCTAAGCTGGGAACCTAAACTGGGAACTGCTGGGGAAGGAGCCAGCGCCCCCCGACACCTGGGCCACGGTGGGGGGCAGGGTGTCTGATCCAGTTCACCGTCCCCCGTGGGACCTTGCACGCCGCTGGGCTCCTCTCTGAGCCTCAGTTTCCCCAACTGGAAAGGGTGCAGAATGCCCGCACTACCTCACAGGATGGCGTGCTGAGCGTTTCCTGCCAGGGAGACTTTCCTGAGGGCCCTGGCCAGGTGTGGGGGACGGAGGGGTATAGTGGGGGACGGAGGGCTGTACCCTGAGACCAGGCTGACACACACCTGGCCCGTTATCCCCGAGTCTCACCCCCCCTGGATGGGTGAGCAACCCGCCAGCTGCTGCAGCTGGGGGCCCAGGAGGCCTGGGGTCATGACCTTCCCTTGCCCCGTGGACTCTCAAACTTGCTCTTTAATAAAAAATAATAGAAATCCAGCCGACTCACAGGTTTCACTTCCTCCCTGCATGTGGGGAATCCCTCATGGACTCATGTATTTCTTCCTTTTTTTTTTTTAGATCTTGCCCTTCAGATTCTAGGTTTCTTTTTATTTATGTTTAACCCTTGGTAAACATGTGTCCAAGAAACAGGATACACATACGTTTAAAAAACAATAACCATTAGCCAAAACCGGTTTGGCTCAGTGGACAGAGCATCGGCCTGTGGACTGAAAGTTCCCGGATTCGATTCCGGTCAAGGGCATGTACCTTGGTTGCGGGCATATCCCCAGTAGGGGGTGTGCAGGAGGCAGCTGATGGATGACTCTCTCTCATCGATGTTTCTAACTCTCTATCCCTCTCTATTCCTTTCTGTAAAAAATCAATAAAATATATTTAAAACAAACAAAGAAAAACATAAAAAATAACCATTAAGCCGGTGTGGCTCCGTGGCTGAGCATCCACCCAGGAGCCAGGAGGTAACCTGGTTCTATTCCCCACCAGGCCACAGGCCCAGGTTGCAGGCTCAATCTCCAGGATCGGGGGGGCGAGGGGGGGCGGCAGGAGGCAGCTGATCAATGATTCTCCCTCGTCATTGATGTTTCCATCTTTCCCTCCCTCTTCCTCTCTGAAATCAATAATAATAATAAAAAAGGCTCCTGCCCTGGCTGGTTTGGCTCAGCTTGTGGACTGAAGGGTCCCAAGTTCGATTCCCGTCAAGGGCACATGCCCGGGTTGCGGGCACATCCCCAGTAGGGGGTGAGCAGGAGGCAGCTGATCAATGATTCTCTCTCATCGATGTTTCTAACTCTAACCCTCTCCCTTCCTCTCTGTAAAAAAAAAAAAAAAAAAATCAATAAAATATATTTTTAAAAAAATTCAGAGGGTGTCTCCGCAGGAGGAGGATCGGAATGAATCTGGTTCTGGGGGCGCCCTCTGTCCTGGGGGGGATGGCTACGGGCCCAGAGGAACGCAGGGCAGCCAGCCTGGCCCTCAGCCACCTGCAGGCGGTCGGCGGTCGGCGGTTGGCGGTTGGCGGTTGGCGGTTTGCGGCTGGGAGCCACAACCCCCTCAGACCGACATCCGCTTCCTTTTCGGAAGCGGGAAACCTCAGACCACAGACACTGTCACACACCGGCTGTCACCCTCCTCCTGACCCCGCAGCCTCCGAGCGAAAGTGGTGACACCCCGTCTGAAACCACCTCAAACCCACAGCCGCCCAGACGGGACTCTGTGGCCGACACCAGCTGCCGGAGGAGGAAGTTGGGGGTTAGGTTAGTGGGGGGCGGGGTGCACGCTTCACAGGAAGGCACCCAAGTCGGGGTGAAGCTTTCAGAGGCTCTTTGGGGCCTGAGCCCGGAGGCCCGGCTGCTGGTGGCAGGCGCTGTGGCCCAGCAGCCACCCGGCTCTGGTGAAGGGACCTGGTCACCATCCCACCTGCCTGACGGGTGACCCTCCCCAGGGGCCACGTCACCCCGGGGCGGGGCGTCTGGGGCGGGTTGACAGTGGCCCCTAAGAGTTATGTCCACCCCTGGCCGGTGTGGCTCAGTGGATAGCGCGTCAGCCTGCAGACTGACGGGTTTGATTCCAGTCAAGGGTGTTCAGGAGGCAGCGGATCAATGATTCTCTCTCATCATGGATGTTTCTATTCCCCCCCTCCCCTTCCTCTTTGAAATCAATACACATATATTTTAAAAAATAAAGTTGCCCTAACCGGTGTGGCTCAGTGGATAGAGCGTCGGCCTGCAGACTCAAGAGTCCCCTGGTTTGATCCCGGTCAAGGGCATGGACCTTGGTTGCGGGCACATCCCCAGTAGGGCTGGTGCAGGAGGCAGCTGTTCGATGTTTTTCTCTATCCCTCTCCCTTCCTCTCTGTAAAAATCAATAAGAAATATACATAAAAAAAGAAACTAAAGGACGGGCACCCTGTGGACGCTGCAGGGTTCGGGGAAAAAGGAGAAAAAAGGAGAAATTGAGGTTTTGCACGGAGCGGGGGAGGGAAGGACAGAAACCTCTTCCCCTAACAAGAGCCTGCACTTCACCACACCGACGGCAGAGGGCGCTGGAGCCTGAAAAACCTTCCCCATTGGCACCAGCACCGTTAACTCTGCAGAAACACCTGTTCCCTCTCCCACGGATGTTTCTCTGCCTGTGTCTCCCCCTCCCTCCACTCTCTCTAAACATCAATGGACAAATACCCTCCGGCCACGATGCACAGCAGCCGCCACAGAGGAGCACAGGGGAGGAAACCCTGTCCCCACCCCCCAGGCCAGCAGGAGGGACCAGACTCGGCCACCGCGTTCTCAGGCTGGACGTGGGCCTGGGGCTCTGTTCACGGCGGCCCCACCGGGCTCTGCAGGCAGGACTCGGCCTTCCCGCCGCTGCCCGCCTCCCTCTGCACAGCCCGCCCCCCCTGGCCGCACCCAGGCCCGTGGGCCCCCCTCTGCACAGCCCGGCTCCCCTGTGTGTGTGTGTGTGTGTGTGTGTGTGTGTGTGTGTGTGTGTGTGTGGCTGGTGAGAAACCGCGGCAGGAAGCCGCAGGGGGATGTGGGCGCCCGGGCGGCTGTGCACTCAGCCTCCTGGGGCAGGCGGGGGAGTCCCTGTCCTGCTGGGCGGGGTGCGGGTAGCCTGTGTCAGGGCTCAGAGCCCTGGGCTGCCCCGTCCTGGGTGTGTCCCTCTGGGGGCTGGTGCCCTGGGGGTCCCTGGTCTGCTGGGACTTGGGGAATGGTGCTGGGGAGCTGAGGGGGGGTGGGGGCTGTGGGAGGAGGAGGATGTAGACGTGAGGTTGGTGATCCGGCAGAGTCCTGGGGCTGATGAGGGACGGGGAGACCACCTTACAGTCATTTTTCTTTCTTTTTAAAAAATATATTTTTACAGGGAGAGAACGAAGATGGCGGCATAGGTAAACACACCTGATCTGCTGCTGTGCACAACAATTCAAATATACAACTGTAAAATAAAACGTCTATCACTCTACACCCAAGGGAAAGCTGGCTGAGAGGAAGCCCTACAACTACCCTGTTTCCCCGAAAATAAGACAGTGTCTTATATTAATTTTTGCTCCCAAAGATGCGCTAGGTCTTATTTTCAGGGGATGTCTTATTTTTCCATGAGGAAGAATACGGTACACATTTATTGTTAAATAAAAATAAAGGAAACTTATTACCTGTATATGGTACAGTAGTACGGTCGTTGTCAACACAAACCAGACAAACTGTGAATCCTACAGCATCAAGAATTTACTCATTTATTCAATGACAATCATGTTATCATCTTCTGGAATTTCCTGGTGAGTTTCTTGTGACTCCATTTCTTTCAGAATCAGTGGACCAAATCTCTCATGTTTAGCCTAGGGGGGAGGGCCTTATTTTTTGGGGGATGCCTTATATTTCACCCAGAAGGAAACCTGTAAGTAGGTCTTATTTTCGGAGGATGTCTTATTTTCGGGGAAACACGGTAGACTGAAAGAGAAAGAGGAGAATCCAGGGCACAAGCGCTGAAAAACGGAGGTGGGGGGGGGGGCGCGGACGGGATATGGGCTGGTGGCGGATTTCGGCTGGCGGAGGACGGTGCTTTTTTCAACCCGAAGAGAGACAAGCGCCTGATCTCTCTGAAGTCCTGTTTCTGGGGAGAGGCTGGACTGTCTGCCATCGGGTGGGAAAGTGAGGGTGGCAGGCTTGCAGAACTTCTTGCAAGAATAATTGTTTGCTGTGCTGTGGTGGGAGACGTGGGGAGATACAGAGACATGGGGATGTGGATCGGAGAGTCATCATTGTTGGCAATGTCACAGCCTAGTTCTGCCCCGAGACTCCGCCCTGACACCCCACCCCTCACAACACAGCCAAGCTCCAAGCAGCGGCTTTTGCATATGAATGGCCCTCTCAGTTGCAGTTTAACCTAGCAAAGGAGGAGAGGATGTGGTTCACGCTGTAGCTCCTGCAGGGTGCAGTAGCTGAACCACATGCATTGGAGATCCAGAAGCCAGTGCTCCCAGTGCTCAGTTTTAACTCCTCACACCCGTGAGTGACACATTCGGGAGGCGGCCTCAGTGAGCACCAAAGCCCCACTGAAACAAAGCGTGTCTCCAGCACAGCAGTTCTTCCTTTATAGACACAGCAGGTCCTCACAGACAACTGGCCTGGAGATCAGTTCCTCCCAATGTACCAACAGCAATCGAGGCTTAATTACACCAATACTTTGCACTCAGCCCACAAAGGGATATAGCAAAAGCGACCACCTCAGGTGATTGGGGAAGCTGAGCTACTGACCCCTATAGGTCACCGACCACACAAAGCCACTCCATCAACACAGGGAGGCAGCCAAAACGAGGAGACACAGAAGCATGTCATGAATGGGAGAGATGGAGGAAAGTATTATAAACTACTGGACGACACAGAGTTCAGAATCACATTTATAAGGTTACTCAAGAATCTTCTAAAAACCTTTGAGAAACTTGATGAGACCTCCAAGAAGCTTTGTGAGACCTTCAAAGACTTTAATGAGAATACCAAAAAATATGGAAAAGGATTAGCCAGAAATTAAGTATACACAGTCTGAAATAAAGAATATACAGAAACTCAACTATAGATCAACGTGCCCCAAGATTCAAACCAAAGATCTGGAATATAAGAAAGCAAAATCACCCAACCAGTCAGGCAAAAAGAAAGAAGAATCCAAAAGTGTGAGGATAGCATAAGGAGCCTCTGGAACGGCTTTCAGGGTACCAACATCCAGATTTTTGGGGTGCCAGAAGAAGAGAGCGAGCAGGATATTGAAGGCCTTTTGGAAGAAATAATGACAGAAAACTTTCCCTACCTGGTGAAAGAAATAGATCTACAAGTTCAGGAAGCGCACAGAACTCCAAACAAGAGGAATCCAAAGAGGACCACACCAAGACACATCATAATTAAAATGCCAAGGGCAAAAGACAAAGAGAGAATCTTACAAGCAGCAAGAGGAAAACAGCTAGTTACCTACAAAGGAATACCCATATGACTGTCAGCCTATTTCTCAACAGAAACTATGCAGGCCAGACAGGAATGGCAAGAAATATTAAAAATGACGAACAACAAGAACCTACAACCAAGATTACTCTACCCAGCAAAGCTATCATTCAGAATTGAAGGTCAGATAAAGAGCTTCACAGACAAGAAAAAGTTAAAGGAGTTCATCAGCACCAAACCAGAATTACATGAAATGTTGAAGGGTATTCTTTAAAAAGAGGAAGAAGAAGAAAAAGGTAGAGGTAAAAAATTATGAACAACAAAAAGACATCAAATGCATACTTACCAACAAGTGAATCTAAAAATCAAATGAATAAAAAATCTGAAGAACAAAATGGACTGGTGAATACGATAGGATCAGGGACATAGAAAGGGATTGGACTAACAATTCTCAGGGGGATGGGGGTCTGAGGAATGAGGGAAGAGATTGGACAAAAATCTTACACCTATGGATGAAGACAGTGGTGGGGGTTAGGGCAGGGGGTGGGGTTGGGAATCAGGTGGAGGGGAGCTATTGGGGGTGGGTGGGAAGAGGAACACCTGTAATAATCTAAACAATAAAGACTTATTATAAAAACCAAATATATATATTTACTGATTGCAGAGAAAGAGAGAGAGAGAGAGAGAGAGAGAGAGAGAGAGAGAGAGAGAGAGAGAGAGAGAGAGAGAGAGAGAGAGAGAGAGAGAGAGAGAGAGAGAGAGAGAGAGAGAGAGAAATAACCATGAGGAGAGAGAATCATGAATCGGCTGCCTCCTGCACGCCTCCCCCCCCCCCCCACTGGGAATGGAGCCTACAAGCCGGGCATGTGCCCTTGACAGAAATCCAACCAAGGACCCTTCATTCCGCAGGCCGATGCTCTATCCACTGACCCAAACCAGCCAGGGCTTATTTATTTATTTTTTAAAACTATATCTTTATTGATTTCAGATGGGAAGGGAGAGGGAGAGAGAGAGATAGAAACATCAGTGATGAGAGAGAATCATGGATTAGCTGCCTCCTGCACGCCGCTACTGGGGATGGAGCCCACAACCTGGGCATGTGCTCTTGACTGGAATCAAACCTGGGACCCTTCAGTTTACAGGCCAATGCTCTATCCACTGAGCCAAACTACCTAGGGCTTTTCCATTGATATCTATCTATCTATCTATCTATCTATCTATCTATCTATCTATCTATCTATATCTATCTATCTATTTATCTATCTATCTATCTATCTATCTATCTATCTATCTATCGAGAAACATTGGCATGAGAGAGACTCATCGATTGGTTGCCTCCCACACACACCCCGACCAGGGCCGGGGTTCGAACCTGCAACCCAGGTGTGTGTTCTTGACCGGGAATCGAACTCCTGACCCCTCTGTGCTCAGGGCTGGTGCCCTAAACACTGAGCAGCGCTGGCCGGGGCTGGTGGAGGGGGTTGGATCTGCCTCTGTGGGAAGACTGGCATGTGGACAGTCCCTCCGGCTCCTGGTGGCAGGAGATAAGCGAGGCTCCCGGGCGCGGTGTGCCAGTCATTGCCGGGGGCTGAGGGGGAGGCACATAAGTCTCCATTAGGAAAGACCAGGCGGGCGGGAAGGGGAGGGAGGGCAATTCTCCCTCATCACGTCCGTCCGGTGTCTGGTGTCCGGGCTCCCGCCCCTCACAGCTCCCAGGACCGGCCTCGGAGCCATGGCCTCGTCTTGGTCTGCCCGGGCTGCCCTCTTCTGTCTCGGTGAGTCCGGAGGGTGGACCGGGAGGCGCTGAGGGGCAGGCAGGGGGTACCAGGCAGATAACTATTAGAATGAGGCACTTGAGCGCGATGGATCTCAGAGCAAGAGGCAGAGGCGAGGGCCTGGCATTGGGTGGGAGGGACCAGGGGGTAACATGTCTGAGTTTTCCCAGTCTCTTCATGGCCCGGGCAGGACATGAACAAAACACGCTTGGCGTCGGCTTAAACTTCCTCTCACTACATCTTTTATTTAAAAAAATATCTATATTTTATTGATTTTTACAGAGAGGAAGAGAGAGGGAGGGAGAGCTAGAAACATCGATGAGAATCATCCATCAGCCGCCTCCTGCACACCCCACACTGGGGATGTGCTTGCAACCAAGGTACATGCCCTTGACCGGAATTGAACCCGGGACCCTTCAGTCCGGAGGCTGATGCTCTATCCACTGAGCCAAACTGATTTTGGCTCCACTTTTTTATTACTTATTTATATTTTTATTTTTATGGATTTCAGAGAGGAAGGGAGAAGGAGAGAGAGATAGAAACATCCATGATGAGAGAGGATCATGGATCGGCTGCCTCCTGTACGCCCCTTCCTGTGGATCAAGCCCACAACCCACACATGTGCCCTTGACCGGAATCGAACCCAGGACCTTTCAATCCATAGGCTGACACTTCATCCACTGAGCCAAACCAGCTAGGGCCCATTACAACATCTTTAAAATAAAACCAAACTCCTCACACACCTTGGTTTCAGGTTTGATTCCCAACCCCGGTGTGGATGTGTGTGGGAGGCAACCAATCGATGTGTCTTTCTCACACTGATGTTTCTCTCTCTCTCTCTTTCTCTCACCCTTTTCCTCCCTCCCTTCCACTCTTCCTAAAAAGCAATGGAGCCTAATGATGTGGCTCAGTGGTTGACCATCAACCAGGAGGTCCTGGTTCGATTCCCGGTCAGGGCACCTGGCTGGGTTGTGGTCTCGATCCCCAGAGTGGGGTGTGCAGGAGGCAGTAGACGGAGGACTCTCTCTCTCTCCCTCTCCCTTCCTTTCTGCAATAAAAAGAATATATATTAAAAAGAATAAAAAGCAGTCCTGACCAGTTGGATCAGTAGATAAAGCATCGGCCTGCGGACTGAAGGGTCCCAGGTTCGATTCCGGTCAAGGGCATGCACCTTGGTTGCGGGCACATCCCCAGTGGGGGGGTGTGCAGGAGGCAGCTGATCGATGTTTCTCTCTCATTGATGTTTCTAAGTCTCTCCCTTCCTCTCTATAAAACTTAATAAAATATATAAAAAAATAAAAAGCAATGGGAAAAATAGCATCGGTGAGAATTAGCAACAATTAAACCCTGTCCTTAACACTCCCTCCCTCCCTCCCTCCCTCCCTTCTCCTGGCCACTGCCAGCCACTACTCTCCACCCCGGCAATGGCCTTTGGCTGCTGCCTACACAGGAAACAGGCCCGTCCTGTTAGGCTTCTCTCGCTTCCGTTAGGCCAGCGGTGGGCAAACTTATCAGTCCACAGAGCCAGATATCAACAGGACAATGACTGAAATTTCCTTGGAGCCAAAACCGGTTTGGCTCAGTGGATAGAGCGCCAGCCTGCGGACTGGAAAGTCCCAGGTTCGATTCCGGTCAAGGGCATGTACCTTGGTTGCAGGCACATCCCCAGTAGGGGGTGTGCAGAAGGCAGCTGATTGATGATTCTCTCTCATCAATGTTTCTAATTCTCTTTCCCTCTCCCTTCCTCTCTGTAAAAAATCAATAAAATATAGTTTAAAAAAAAATTTCCTTGGAGAGCCACATTTTGTTTTTTCATGCTTAAGAGGTATCATTTATTATTCTTTTTATTCTTTTTCTTTTTTTAATTAAGATATTATATTGGAGAGTCACATTAAAAATATTTTAAACATCGATGAGAGAGAAACATCGATGAGAGAGAAACGTCGACCAGCTGCCTCCTGCACGCCCCCCACTGGGGATGTGCCCGCAACCAAGGCACATGCCCTTAACTGGAATTGAACCCGGGACCCTTAAGTCCACAGGCTGACGCTCTATCCACTGAGCCACACCGGTTTTGGCCAGAGAGCCACATTTTTTTACACTTAAACTTCTCCTAACGCCACGTCTTCCACATAGACTCGCCCAGGCCGTGGTATTTTGTGGAAGAGCCACACCCACGGGGCCAAAGAGCCGTGTGTGGCTCTCGAGCTGTGGTTTGCCTATAGGGGCCTGTGTGTCTTCCACAACCAATGCCCCCCGGAGGCCCAGAAGGCCTGCGCCCGCTGGGTCCCGGGGTCCAGCCCACTGAAAGTGTGGGTCCCCAACGCCCTAGCCCTGGTCCTTCCCTTCTGTCCCCAGGGCTGTGTCTGCGGCAGGTGGTCCAGGCGCAGGGCGGTGAGTGAGTGGGGACCCCTCCTCTGAGGGTGAAGTGGGGGGATCCAGAGGGGGGCCCGGCTGACCCCCACGGCCCTCTGCTTGCTTCCCTCGCAGGGTCCCTGCCCGCGCCCACCCTCCAGGCCCTGCCCAGCGCCCTGGTGCCGCTGGACAAGCCGGTGAACCTGCGCTGCCAAGGCCCGCCCGGCGTGACCGTGTACCGCCTGGAGAAGCTGCGGTTGGAGCCCTACGAGGGGAAGTACGAGGACCAGGACTCCCTCTACATCCCGGCCATGATGGAGAGCGACGCCGGCCTTTACCGCTGCTCCTACCAGGAAGGCAGTCGCTGGTCCCCGCCCAGCGAGAAGCTGAAGCTGGTGGCCACCGGTAACCGGACGGATGGTCGGGCGGTCAGACGGACGGGTGGACAGATGAACAGATGGATGGACAGGACGGGGCGGGCGGGCTGAGGCTGGAGGTGCGGCCTCAGGGCTGGTGGTGCTTGGTTCTGGGCCTGAAGGGGGTGACATGGGGGGAGACGGTTGTGGGCACCGCAGGGTCTCCCGGGGCTGGGACTAGGGTGGGGCAGTGAGGCCCTGGGCTTGCGTGCGAAATGTTGGGGAGGTGCCCCCCCTTAATTAGGCTATCAAGGTCAATGCTATGTTAGGGGCGTGGTCGGCAAACCTCGGCTTGTGAGTTGCATGTGGAGGAAGGGAAAGGGCGGGGGGGGGGGGGAGAGAGAGAGAGAGAGGGAGAGAGAGAGAGAGAGAGAGAGAGAGAGAAACATTGACCTACTGGCGACCGAGCTGACAAGGCGGGCGTGTGCCCTGACTGGGAATCGCACCGGTGACCTCCCTGCAGGGGACGATGCTCTGTCTTTGCTACCAGAGTCCCTCTGTCCGCAGGCGTGTACAAGAAGCCCACACTCTCTGCCCAGCCCGGCCCGGCGGTGCCCCCCGGCGGGGATGTGACGCTCCAGTGCCGGAGCCAGTACGGCTTCGACCAGTACGCCCTGTACAAGAAGGGGCACCCGAGGCAGGACAAGGGCCTGGAGCGCTGGTACCCGGCCGACTTCCCCATCATCACCGTCACGGCTGCCCACAGCGGGACCTACCGGTGCTACAGCTTTTCCAGCGACAACCCGTACCTGTGGTCCGCCCCCAGCGACCCCCTGGAGCTCATGGTCACGGGTAAGGGGCTGGGCCGGGCCTTCCCTCCTCCCCTGTCTTCGAGGACCCTGATGCCAGCTTCCGGGGGAGGGGCCCAGAGGTGCCAAGGGTGGACTGTACGCCAACGCCGGAGTTTCTTCTCTCCCAGGAGCCTTTTTTTTTTTTTTAAAATATATATTTAATATATTTTATTGACTTTTCACAAAGAGGAAGGGAGAGGGACAGAGAGTCAGAAACATCGATGAGAGAGAAACATGGATCAGCTGCCTCCTGCACGCCCCCCCACCGAGGATGTGCCCACAACCAAGGTACATGTGCCCTTGACCGGAATCGAACCTGGGACCTTTCAGTCCGCAGGCCAACGCTCTATCCACTGAGCCAAACCGGTTTTGGCTAAAAAATATTTTTGTTAGAGAGGGTCGGACCTGCATGACCACCATGTGCCCACCATCCAGAACTGAAATATCATGGCTGACATGTACACATGAGGAACTGGTTGACATGGAAATTGGGTCTCAAAAGAATTGGTGGCCCAGAAAGGAGCTCACTACGGACTGATTCATATGCCTCTCAGCATAACGGTTATTGCTTGTCTCGTTTTTGATTCTTATAAGTGTATTTCCTCACGAATCTAGGGGAAATGGTGAACAACATAGACTGATGAACAAGAACAGACTCAGAGATAAGGAGCCGTGGGTCAGACTGTTGGACCCCAGCGGGAGGGTGGGAATAAGAGGGAGAGATCACAACCAAAGGACTTGTGTGCACACATATGAGCCTAACCAGTGGTCAAGGACAATAGGGGGGTGGGGGCATGAGTGGTGGGGGATTGAAATGGGGGTTTGAGGATAAATATGTGATACCTTCATCAATAAGGAAATTAAAATAAATATTTTTGTTGACTTCAGAGAGGAAGGGAGAGGGAGAGAGAAGGAGAGAAACATCCATGATGAGAGAGAATCACAGGTGGTGGAAAACACAGCGAATGGGCCACAGAATTCCTCTCTTTCTGATTTCTCAGGGCCTTCCAGCGCACCCAGCCCGTCACCCACAGAGGCACCTTCCTCTACAACACGTAAGTCCTGGGGGATTCACCCCAGTGTCTGGGGTCCAAGGCACGTGGACCTCCTCTTTTTCATCCTCATCTGAGGACATATTTATTATGCTTGATATGATTTCTATCTTCTTGAATTTGAAGAGACTTTGCCTATGTCCCAAAATGTGGTCTATCTTTGAGAATGTCCCATGTGCGCTTGAGAAGAATGTATATTCTGTGGCTTTGGGGTGGAGGGTTCTGAAGATGTCGATTAATTCCATCTGGTCTAGCGAGTCATTTAGGATTGATATTTCTTTGCTGATTTTTTGTTTAGATGACTTGTCAAAGGGTGACAGTGGGGTATTAAGATCTCCTACTATGATTGTATTGCTATTAATCTCTCCCTTAATGTCCTCCAGCAGTTTTTTTTTTAATATATTGGGGTGCTCCCGTATTGGGTGCATATATATTTACCAGGGTTATTTCTTCTTGATGGATTGCTCCCTTTAGTATTATGAAGTGGCCTTCATTATCTCTTGTTATGTCCTTCACACTGAGATATAATTTGTCAGATATAAGTATTGCTACCCCAGCTTTTTTTTTTTTCATTTCCATTCGCCTGGAAAACCTTTTTCCATCCCTTCACTGAGGACATATTTATTAATATTTACAGAAAAAGAGGGATGGGAAAAGAGAGAGAGAGAGAGAGAGAGAGAGAGAGAGAGAGAGAGAGAGAGAGAGAGAGAAAGAGAGAGAGAGAGAGAGAAACATTGATTGGTTGCCCTCCAATAGGTGACCTGACCAGAGATCCAACCCACCACATAGGCACATGCCATGACTGGGAATCAAACCTACTTCTGGGACCATGGGACGACGCTCCAACCAACAGAGCCACATCAGCCACGGCCATTGGCCAACTCTTTTTACTTTTTACTTATTTATTTACTTTTTAAAAATATATTTTATTGATTTTTTTTTTATAGAGAGGAAGGGAGACAGAGAGCTAGAAACATCGATAAGAGAGAAACATCACACCAGCTGCCTCCTGCACACCCCCTACCGGGGATGTGCCCGTAACCAAGTGCATGCCCTTGACCGGAATCAAACCTGGGACCTTTCAGTCCGAAGATCGACGCTCTATCCACTGAGCCACACCGGTTAGGGCCCTTGGTGGGTTCTTGTTTGTGCCCTGATTGGGGACCAAACCCACAATGGTGGAATATCTAACCAACTGAGCTACCTAGCCAGGGCCATGACTAGTTTAATTTTCACATCGATGGGGGAAAGGAGATAGCCCCATTTCTTTACCCTTCCCTTAAAAAAAAACCCAACACTTAATTGTTGAAAATATTATAGTTGTCTCCCCTTCCCCTGTTGACCCCTTCTAGCCCTCACCTGCCCCCACCCCAGGTCATCACCACACTCCCGTCTCCTATGCCCATGGGTGGTGCACATATGCAGGCAAGGCCTTTGGTTGCCTTCTTCCCACTCATCCACCTTCCCTCTAAGATTCAACAGTCTGTTCCATGCTTCTGTGTTCTTCCTTTTAAAATTTTTTTTTAATTTTTATCTCAGTGCCGTCTAGGGACACCACCACCTCTCCAGGGGGGCCAGACTCTACAACTGGTGAGTAAGGGGTTCTCTCTGGACCTTCCTTCTCCCCACCTGTGTCTCTTTTTCTGATTTTTATTTTATTTATTTTATTGTTTTATTATTTATTGATTAAGGTATCACATAGTTATCCTCAAACCCCCATTTCAATCCCCCTGCCCCCCACTGATGTCCCTACCCCCCTATTGTCCTTGACCACTGGTTAGGCTCATATGTGTGCACACAAGTCCTTTGGTTGATCTCTCCTTCTTATTCCCACCCTTCCTCTGAGATCCAACAGTCTGACCCATGGATCCTGGTCTCTGGGTCTGTTCTTATCAGTCTATGTTTTTCACCATTTCCCCCAGATGAGTGAGATCATGTCCTACTGGAAATATAAGAATCAAAGATGAGACAAGCAATAATCATTGTGCTGAGAGGCAGATGCATCAGTCTGTAGAGAGTTTCTTTCTGGGCCACCAGGTCTTTTGAGACCCAATTTCCATGTCTAACAGTTTCTTATGTGTACATGTCAGCCATGATATTTCAGTTCTAGGTGGACAAATGCAGGTCCCACCCTCTCTGGTTTGGTCCTGGGCAACCTGCAGTGATACACAGCTGCTGATGTTGAAAGTATTACATAGGTTCCCTCCCTACCCCATCTACCCCCTCCAGCCCACCCCTTTTCTGCCCCAGGCTCTCACCACCCCACTGTCTGTGTTCATGTTCTTTGGGCTAATCTATCCACTCATCCACCCACTCCCACCCACCCGCCCTCTGATATTCGACAGTTTGTTCTTTATTATTATTATTATTATTTATTTTTTTAATCAATCTTTATTGTTCATATTATTACAAAGGTTCCTCATTTCTTCCCCCCTCCACCAGGTTCCCACCCCACCCTCCGCCCCCTCCTCATCCCCCATTGTCCTCATCCATAGGTGCAGTTTATGTTCAGTCTCTTCTTCCCTCAATTTCCCCGATAGTAAATCCCTTTTCAGATATTCAATCAGTTACTTAGCATTTTCTCATATCAATAATACCTCCACATGCCCAAGGATACACTTCACCAAAAGACATTTCCCAATAGGTCCACCAGCCTCATCCAGGCCCCACCCAAGGCACTCACAGATCAACACCCCAGTCCTAAACTAACGCAACACATCCAGATCTAAGCCTTCACCACTTGATTCAGCAGACCCTCAAGTTCCCACAAAAGTTTCCAGCCATGTCTGAGAAGCAGCCGTGGGGCAGGGGCAGGCAAGGAGCGAGCTGTTCTGGGCCTGGCTGCTCAGGGCCTGGCCTCTGTTGCTCTGGTTCATTCCACAACCAGCTGCTCCGGGTTTGGTCACTGCCGCTCCCGACCTAGTTGCTCTGGACTTGGTTGCTGCTGCTCCGGGCCTAGCCGCTCCCAGCCTGGCAGCTGCTGCTCCGGGCCTGGCCGCACCCGACCCGGCTGCTCCCCCGGGCCTGGCCGCTCCCAGCCTGGCAGCCGCTGCTCCGGGCCTGGCCGCACCCGACCCGCCTCTCCCCCGGGCCTGGCCGCTCCCAGCCTGGCAGCCGCTGCTCCGGGCCTGGCCGCACCAGCCCCGCCTGCTCCCCCGGGCCTGGCCGCTCCCAGCCTGGCAGCCGCTGCTCCGGGCCTGGCCGCACCCGACCCGCCTCTCCCCAGGGCCTGGCCGCTCCCAGCCTGGCAGCCGCTGCTCCGGGCCTGGCCGCACCCGACCCGCCTGCTCCCCGGGCCTGGCCGCTCCCAGCCTGGCAGCCGCTGCTCCGGGCCTGGCCACACCAGCCCCGTCTGCTCCCCCGGGCCTGGCCGCTCCCAGCCTGGCAGCCGCTGCTCCGGGCCTGGCCGCACCAGCCTCGCCTGCTCCCCCGGGCCTGGCCGCTCCCAGCCTGGCAGCCGCTGCTCCGGGCCTGGCCGCACCCGACCCGCCTGCTCCCCCGGGCCTGGCCGCTCCCAGCCTGGCAGCCGCTGCTCCGGGCCTGGCCGCACCAGCCTCGCCTGCTCCCCCGGGCCTGGCCGCTCCCAGCCTGGCAGCCGCTGCTCCGGGCCTGGCCGCACCCGACCCGCCTGCTCCCCCGGGCCTGGCCTCTCCCAGCCTGGCAGCCGCTGCTCCGGGCCTGGCCGCACCAGCCCCGCCTGCTCCCCCGGGCCTGGCCGCTCCCAGCCTGGCAGCCGCTGCTCCGGGCCTGGCCGCACCAGCCTCGCCTGCTCCCCCGGGCCTGGCCGCTCCCAGCCTGGCAGCCGCTGCTCCGGGCCTGGCCGCACCCGACCCGCCTGCTCCCCCGGGCCTGGCCGCTCCCAGCCTGGCAGCCGCTGCTCCGGGCCTGGCCGCACCAGCCTCGCCTGCTCCCCCGGGCCTGGCCGCTCCCAGCCTGGCAGCCGCTGCTCCGGGCCTGGCCGCACCAGCCCCGCCTGCTCCCCCGGGCCTGGCCGCTCCCAGCCTGGCAGCCGCTGCTCCGGGCCTGGCCGCACCCGACCCGCCTGCTCCCCCGGGCCTGGCCGCTCCCAGCCTGGCAGCCGCTGCTCCGGGCCTGGCCGCACCAGCCTCGCCTGCTCCCCCGGGCCTGGCCGCTCCCAGCCTGGCAGCCGCTGCTCCGGGCCTGGCCGCACCCGACCCACCTGCTCCCCCGGGCCTGGCCTCTCCCAGCCTGGCAGCCGCTGCTCCGGGCCTGGCCGCACCAGCCCCGCCTGCTCCCCCGGGCCTGGCCGCTCCCAGCCTGGCAGCCGCTGCTCCGGGCCTGGCCGCACCCGACCCGCCTGCTCCCCCGGGCCTGGCCGCTCCCAGCCTGGCAGCCTCTGCTCCGGGCCTGGCCGCACCCGACCCACCTGCTCCCCCGGGCCTGGCCGCTCCCAGCCTGGCAGCCGCTGCTCCGGGCCTGGCCACACCAGCCCCGCCTGCTTCCCCGGGCCTGGCCGCTCCCAGCCTGGCAGCCGCTGCTCCGGGCCTGGCCGCACCAGCCCCGCCTGCTCCCCCGGGCCTGGCCGCTCCCAGCCTGGCAGCCGCTGCTCCAGGCCTGGCCGCACCCGACCCGGCTGCTCCCCCGGGCCTGGCCGCTCCCAGCCTGGCAGCTGCTGCTCCGGGCCTGGCTGCACCTGACCCGGCTGCTCTGGGCCCGGCTGCCCCGGGCCCGGCTGCTCCGAGCCTGGCCACTCCCAACCTGGATGCTCTGGGCTTGGCTACTGCTGTTCTGGGTCTGGCTGCTCCCACCCCGGCTGCTCTGGGCCCGGCTTCTCCGGGCCCGGCCACTCCGGGTCTGGGTGTTCCTGACTGGCCACCCTGGGCTTGGCCGCCTCCGCCTCATGCCTGGCTGCCACTGCCCCAGGTCTGGCTACTCCAGTGCTGGCTGTTGATGCTCTGGTTCTGGCTGCTGTTGTTCTGGGGCCTGGCCGTTGCTGCTTCGGGTCTGGCTGCCACTGCCTTGTGCCTGGCCACTCTAGGCCTGGCCGTCGCTGTTCCAACATTCTGTCCTTTTTTTTTTCTTTTTAAAACGCATTTATGTTGCAATGTTGGCTGGTGAGTTGAGTTCTGACTTAGTCTTTGATTTTTCAAGATCTTCTTTATATTCTTTCTTAAGTAATTTTACTATTGTTTGCTCTCACTTGATTTCTTCACATTGAGAACTTCTTTGGTTTCTTCCTCCTTGTCCTGGGAGCTCAGCAGGTTGGCCTGTGGCACCCCTTTGTTCTCCGCGGGCTCCTGTGCTGCTTCAGCCTGTTGCCGGGACGGCGCCGCCCAGGAAGCAGCCCCCGGCCTTGGCTCCATTGCCCGAGCTCAGTGGTCAAAGGCTCAGGGGCACCCACGCCCCCAGGGGCCTCGTGGCCCGCCTCCTTGCTGGTGCCCGGTTGGCTGGAGTCCGGCAGGGGCTTCCGCTCCCCTCCGCGTTCCCCCAGCCTAGAGCTTTTTTTTTCTCCTTCCCGCTAGGGAAGTCCAGCATCAGAGTCAACAGACTGTCCTCTGCGCGCAGTTTGCGCGAGTCCCACAGACTGTCCTCTGCGCGCAGTTTGCGCGAGTCCCACAGACTGTCCTCTGCGCGCAGTTTGCGCGAGTCCCGGGGGCCCGGCCTTTCGCCGCTCTCCCCGGACTCCACCTCACAGCCCCGTCTCCCTCTGCCTGAGCCTGGGTTCCCAGGGATTGGCCCAGAACTGGGGTTCGGAGCAGTCCGGACTGAGGCTCAGCGCCGCCGGAGGCCTTGTTTCTTCCAGCTAGGGTAACCCAGCATCAGAGTCAACATTCAGTCCTCTGCGCGCATTGCGCGCGACTCCCGGGGCCCTGCCTTTCGCCGTTTTTCCGCCTCACGGCCCTGTCTCCTCCCGCCGGAGCCTGGGTCCCCAGGGTCTGGCCCATAACTGGGGCTCAGCGCTGCCGGTTCGGGGGGGGGGGGGGGCTCAGCGCTGCCGGTTCGGGGGTTCAGCCCAGGCTGGAGGTTTTATTTCCTTCCTGCTAGGGAAGGAAAGGCAGCTCCCCGCCCTCTCCTCCTCTCCGGCTGCGACCTCTCCATGCGCGCGTGCGGGCGGGCAGGCGCGCGCAGCATGTCTCTGTACCTTAGGCTTTTTTTCAGCTCCTCTGATTTTCTTTCTGGTTTTCTCTTTCCTTCTTGTTGTAGGAATTTCAGTCAGTCGACTACCTGTAGCTCTGGGCAATGTCCACTCTACATTTTAGTTGTATTCCATTGAAATTGTTGTGTGCTGCCGCGGCTAGATGTCTACCCGAGCAGCCATCTTGGATCCTCCCTATGAAAACACTCTGTTCTTTATTATTATTATTTTTTTATCCCAGTGCCTTCTAGGGACACCACCCTCTTCTCAGGGGGGCCAGACTCTACGATGGGTGAGTCAGGGGTCCTCCTCTCTGGACCTTCCTTCTCCCTACCCCTGTGTCTTTATCTAAAACTCACTTTCCCTCCACTGAAGTGACAGCTCTGGGATCTTGGGCCCCAATACGCCCCGTGTCAAGGGGAAGGGAAGGAATAGCATATGGAGCTTAGACTGGGGAAGGTTGAGGGCTTATAGCGCCGTGGTCGGCAAACCGCAGCTCAAGAGCCACATGCGGCTCATTGGCCCCTCGGGTGCGGCTCTTCCACAAAATACCACGGCCTGGGGGAGCTTATGTTGAAGACGTGGCGTTAGAAGAGGTTTATGTTTAAAAAATGTGGCTCTCCAAAGAAATTTTGATCATTGTCCTGTAGATATGTGGCTCTGTGGACTGATGAGTTTGCCAACCACTGGGCTAGAGGATCAGAGCAAAATCCATTCCATCCTCACCCCTTAGAGTAGCCTTTTCTCCCGCAATTCGCCAAATAGCCAGGGAGAGTCTGTGTAGGGGGCGGGTTGCATCGGGGGCCTGATGATGGAAGAGGTTATACTCAGGGAACTGGGCTTCTCTGACCCTGGGGGAGGGGGATGGCGTGGCCCTCCAGGCTGGAGGTTGGCATCCCAGCGAGCAGAGAGTCACAGGACCTCAGGTGAGGGAGCACCGTTAGAAGCCCACGATGGGACTCCCGATCCTCTTGATTCCCCAGGCCTCACCCATCAGGACTACACCAGGGGAAATGTGATCCGGCTATGCCTCGGGGCTGCGATTCTCCTGTTCCTGGTGGGCATCCTGGTAGAAGACTGGCACAGCCGGAAGAAGTTCCCGCTGCTCTGGGTCCCCACTATCCACAGGCCACTCCCACCCCTCCCGCAGGCCCCGAAGTCACAGGGCAGTCAGGATGGGGGTCGACCAGTTGGCCATCCCCAGGGTTTGCCACCATCAGAACCTCAAAACGTGGTTGTATCCAAGAGGTCATGAGAGCAGGGAGGGGACTTTGTGTGTGTGTGTGTCTGTGTCTTCTTGGTGCTCCGTCAAGGAGCTGTTGAGTCAGTGTCTATTTGGCTTTCCGATTGCTTCTCAGCTTTTAAGGTCAAGTGCACGAGGCTTTCTGTTGATTAACCGAAGAACTTATCTACACTAATAAAAGAGAATCATGCAAATTGACCATCACTCTGCTATGCTCGCCAGCCAATCAGGAGGGAATATGCAAATTAGGACAAAGATGGCAGCCACCCAGGCACAGAGTGGCTGATGGGGCAGGACACCTGTTATGAGAGGGAGGGCAGGGGGAGGGAGGTGAAGGGATCTACAGGAGCAACACTCCAGTACAGTGAAGACGAAGAAGGCAGACTCCAGGCAGAGCAAAGGCCTGGGTCCCGGGTTCCAGAGGAAAACCGGTGCTGTAGGCCAAGGGAAGGAAGGCCTACTGCACGAATCTCTTCATGCAAAGGGCCTCTAGTATGCATATATGCATTGCTCATAGACACAGACAATAGGGTGATGAAAGGCTGGGAGGGAACTGGGTGAAGAGGAGCAATGTGGGGAGGGGGAATGGAAGATACCTGTAAGACTCTCAACCATAAAGTTAAAAAAAGAGAACTCCCTCTGTTTGGGACAGAAAAGAATCAAACCAGCAACCCATCAGTTCACTAACCAATGCTCTATCCACTGAGCCAAACCGGCTAGGGCTAGTCATTGATGTCTTGCACATTGAGGCTCTTACAACTTCCTCACTGCAACATCATACTCCCTCCCACCCCCCTTTTAAAAAATATATTTTGTTGATTTTTTTACAGAGAGGAAGGGAGAGGGATAGAGTTAGAAACATTGATGAGAGAAACATCCATCATCTGCCTCCTGCACACCTCCTCCTGGGGATGTGCCTGCAACCAAGGTACATGCCCTTGACTGGAATCGAACCTGGAACCCTTCTGTCTGCAGGCCGATGCTCTATCCACTGAGCCACACTGGTTTTGGCCTCCCCCCTCCCCTTTCCCCCCAAATGTTTTCATTGATTTTTAGAGAAATGGAGAGGATAGAAACATTGATTAGAGAGAAACATCGATTGACTGCCCCTCACACACCCCTCTACTACGGATGGAGCCCACCACCCACCCGGGCATGTGTCCCAACTGGGATTCGAACCAGGGATCTCTTGGTGTATGGGAGGACACTCAACCCCCTGAGCCACCAGCTGGGCTTCCCTCGTTCTTCAGCCTTCTCTCCAATGGCTTGTGGGTGGACCTCTGCATCCGGTCTGACTCCGCCAATGAATACAATCTCCTCCTCAAGTGCTCTCACCTTTATTTCTCTTGATAGACTCGTGAATGGGGCAGCTCGTCGTGACAGGATGAAGTGACACGGGCGTGTTGTGTGTAAGGGGGAGGGTGCAGCCAAGGCTCCGAGCCCATCAGGTCCCACAACTCCTGTCTCTGCGTGGGCTCACAGGACGCTCGCCCTCGCTTCGAACAGAAGATCGTGGGGATAACGAATGACTCGGGGGTTGGGGGAGGAGGATGGGGATTCAGAAAATAAAGTCCGCAGAAGAAGGCCTGTGATTTTTGGGCTCCTCGTTGTCCCTCTCAATGGTCAGTTTTGGGTTACCCTCTTTGATTTCTTCCAGCAGCTTCTGGATTTGGACGTCAGAATGATCGATCTTCAACCTGGTGGTACAATGTGGGGGGCGGTGAGAGGGAGGAGACATTGCAGGTTTTTTGGAGACTCATTCCAGACCCCCCGAGTGCCTGCCCGTCTCACGCATTAGGGATGTTCAGTGACGGGACCATCTCTATGCTGCCCGGTAGAGTTCTATTATTGACTTGATAGGGACGGAATATGGCATCAGGCGACCCTCCTGATGGCATAAAGCCACTGGCGAGCTTTGGGTGCTCGGAGGTTCTTGGGGGTGATTTTCACGTCCTCCTTGGTGGGAGAGATGGAACGGACGCATGCACCTGTGACATGGCTCTTACACCTACCAGCCCCATAGCTCACTCTGTCAACTTCTGCTACGTAGGTGGACCCAGGATGAGACAGACGGACTCAAGCCAAGTCAGCCAGACTAGCTTTTTTAAAAATTATTATTTTTTTAATCCCCGTTAGGCTACAGGATGCTATCTCATGACCATGCTTTTTATTTTATTTTATTAATCCTTACCTGAGGGTATTTTTCCCATTGATTTATATATATTTTATTTTATATATATTATATATATTTTTATATATTAAATATATTATATATATATTTTTAATTGATTTTGTACAGAGGAAAAGAGAGAGACAGAGAGTTAGAAACATCGATAAGAGTCATCGATCAGCTGCTTCCTGCACACCCCCTACTGGGGATGTGCCCATAACCAAGGTACATGCCCCTGACCGGAATCGAACCCGGGACCCCTCAGTCCCCAAGCCGGCACTCTATCCATTGAGCCAAACCAGTCCTGGCTCCCATTGATTTTTTTATTGAGAGAGGAAGGGAGGGAGTAGGGGAAGGAGTAGGAGAGAGAGAGAGAGAAAGAAAGAGGAAAAGAGAGAGGGAAAAAGAGAGGGAAAGAGAGGGGGGGGGAAAGAGAAACATCAATGTGAGAGAGACACATTGATTGGTGGCCTCCCCCACATGCCCCAACCTGGCCAGGGATCTAACCTGCAATCCAGGCACATGCCCTTAACTGGGAATCAAACCTGAGACCCTTCAGTGAGACTATAATCACTGAGCAACACCACCCAGGGCTAACCATGCTTTAGTTAACCTCTGATGATTGACAGCCGGCCCCATTTCTAAGATTCACCCCTTGGTAACTATGGTAACTATTGAGCCCAAAACCCCGGGCATGTCCCTGGACCGGGAATCGAACCGTGACCTCCTGGTTTATGGGTCTAATCAAGAGAAGGCATTGACGGACAAATTACTTGGTGATCCGAACATCAATGGATTAAAAGAGAATGTTAGCCGAAACCAGTGTGGCTCGGTAGATAGAGCGTCAGCCTGTGGACTGAAGGGTCCCAGGTTCGATTCCGGTCAAGGGCATGTACTTTGGTTGCGGGCACATCCCCAATAGGGGGTGTGCAGGAGGCAGCTGATGGATGTTTCTCTCATTGATGTTTCTAACTCTCTATCCCTCTCCCTTCCTCTCTAAAAAAAAAAAAAAAAATCAATAATATATTTAAAAACAAAACAAAACGGAATGTTCGAGGAAGCTGTGCCTACAAGGAATCCTGTCATTGGTGCTCCCCTAAAATCTACAATCCTGGCGCAAACACTGGGGTGTCGGCGGGTCGTACCTAAGTTTCTGCAGAGGGCAGCTCGGAAGTTTCAGGACATCAGCCAGTGTCTTCATCCCGCTGTGCTCCAGGGAATTCTGACCCAGGTCCAGACTGACGAGGTGCTGGCTGCTGCTGAGGGCGGATGCGAGGTCCCCACAACTAAACGGGATAATCCCACATCCCCATAACCTGGAGGCGAAGCACAAAAATCCATTCATTCACTCATTCATTCAACCAGTGCTTATTGGTACCGTCCCATACGCCAGGCACACTGTTGGGTCCTCAGCCAATTGCCAAGCTCGGAGGGAGGAGACCAGTGTGAGGCACTGTTGGGTCCTCAAAATATCCTTTTTGTTGAAAGTATTACACAAGCCCCTTCCCCCATTGACCTCTTCTAGCCCCCCTGTCTCCACTCCAGCCTTTACCACCCTCCAATCCTTTTAAAAAAATATATATTTAATTGATTTTTTACAGAGAGGAAGGGAGATGGATAGTTAGAAACATCAATGAGAGAGAAACATCGATCAGCTGCCTCCTGCACACCCCTAACTGGGGATGTGCCCGCAACCAAGGTCCATGCCCCTGACCGGAATCGAACCCGGGACCTTCCAGTCCGCAAGCCGACGCTCTATCCACTGAGCCACACCAGTTAGGACTCTCCAATCCTTTTCATTATGAGCAGGTGGCACAATGACATGCCTACACATCTCAATATTGTCCCCAAAAGAGCTGGGGGGTGGAGGGGAGGGAGACTGTCACACGGATATGTCATCTCAGACGCAGATTCAAGAACAGAAACCGTGACTGACCAGAGGCGCCTCAGGCGACACAGGGGCTTCCTCAGAGCCTCGCACAGGAACTTCACGCCCGTGATTCCGAGGTGGTTCCGCCCCAGGTCCAGGTGCGCGAGCCCAGAGCCTTCCTGCAGGAGCGCGGAGAGGGCGATGCAGCCGTCGCTGGTGATGCTGCAGTGGAACAGCCTGGAAGGAAGGAAAACACAACACAACACGGTTAGTCCTCCCGGGTGGGACGCAACCAAACCGTGATGGACGAGCTCAAGCCACGGAGTCATGGTTGCAGATTCAATCCCTGGCTCAGGTCGGGGCGTGTGCTGGAGGCAACCAACAAAAAACATTTATTTAAAAAATATTTGTATTGGCCGAAACTGGTTTGGCTCAGTGGATAGAGAGAGCATCAGCCTGCAGACTGAAAGGTCCTGGGTTCGATTCCGATCAAGGGCATGTGCCTTGGCTGTGGGCACATCCCCAGTGGGGGGGGGGAGGGGGTGTAGGAGGCAGCTGATCGATGTTTCTCTCTCATTGATGTTTCTAACTCTCTATCCCTCTTTCTCTCTGTAAAAAAAAAATCAATAAAATATATTAAAAAATATTTGTATTGATTTCAGAGAGGAAGGGAGAGGGAGGGAGAGAGAGAGGAACATCAATGATGAGAATCATGGATCGGCTGCCTCCTGCACACCCCCCTACTGGGGATGGAGCCCACACCTGGGCATGTGCCCTTGGCCAGAATCAAACCCAGGACCCTTCAGTCTGAAGACCAATGCTCTATCCACTGAGCCAAATCTGCTAGGGTGACTTACTTTAGTCGTTATTATTTATCTTTTAAAATTGAATTTATTAGGGGTGATATTGGTTAATAAAATTATGCAGGTTTGGACATACAATTCTTTTAAAAAAATTTAAAAAAATCAAACCTAGAAGTCAACTACATCCCCCATTTGTACTTTTTACCCCCCTTAACACCCTTTCCCCAGGTGTCACCAGAAACAGCACATTTAGGGTAGTCAGAGAAATGAGTAAATCCAGCTGGAATCCAGCACACACACACAGACACAGACATACACAAACACAACACACAGAGACACACAGACACAGAGACATACAGCACAAAGACACACACAGAGACACATACCCACAGAGACACACCCACAAAGACACACCCACACAGAGACACACCCACACAGAGACACACCCACACAGAGACATACACAGACACACAGACACAAGACAAAGACACATACAAACACAGAGACACACAATACACACACAGATACACACAACACACAGATACACACAAACACAACACACAGACAGACAGAGACACACGGACACACACAGAGACAAACAGCACAAAGACACACACAGAGACATACACACCCACACAAAGACACACCCACACAGAGACATATACAGACACACACAAACACACAGAGGCAGACACACAACACACACACAGATACACACAACACAGAGACACACACAACACACAAACAGACACACTGAGATACACACAGACATACGGATGGACACACACACACACACACACACACACACACACACACCACACAGAGTCAGTGGGGACTTACACCAGGGTCTGCAGCTGACATTCCGGGTAGCTCAAGCCCTCACACAGAAGTCTCACCCCGTGGTCCCCAAGGTCGTTCCTGGCCAGGCACAGGTGTGTCAGCCTCAGGTTGACCATCAGACTGGAGGAGAGCTCCTTGCAGTAGGCAGCTGTGAGGTGACAGTTTTCCAGCCTGTGGTGGGGGAAGCACCACACACACCCACGGTTAGATGGTCAGACGGTGAGAATGTTCCCGAAGCCCTACCTTCTTGGCTGAGAGCTCTCCTTGTTGTCAGCAGAGCTGAATCATCTGGGATGGCTAAAAAGCATGTTCCCCAAACCTGAATAGGATTGCTTGCTGCTAGACAGCTCAGAGCATCTCAATCTGCATGGTATTGCCTCCTGTTGGCCAACCACCTGAACAGCTGTAGGCTATTCCCCAATCTGACAATGCTTCTGTAAACCTTACCCTTTGAAGTGTATTATCTCCACCTTGCCTTAGGACAAATTGTGTTAATAAAAAGCAGGGGTCCTGAGACAAGGAGAAGGCTTTAGCTCCTTTAGCTGAAGCTCCACTGACCCCCAATGCCTTTTATTATTTTTAAAAAATATATTGTATTGATTTTTTACAGAGAGGAAGGGAGAGGGTGAGAGAGAAACATTGATGAGAGAGAAACATAGACCAGCTGCTTCCTGCAACCAAGATACATGCCCTTGACCGGAATTGAACCTGGGACCCTTCAATCTGCAAGCTGACATTCTATCCACTGAGCCAAACCAGTTAGGCAAGGACGAGATAGTTTTAAAAGGCATTGGGGCCCTAATCAGTTCGGCTCAGTGGATAGAGCATCAGGCTGTGGACTGAAGGGTCCTGGGTTCGATTCCGGTAAAGGACATGTACCTTGGTTGCTGGCACATCCCCAGTGGGGGGTGTGCAGGAGGCAGCTGATGGATGTTTCTCTCATATCAATGTTTTTAGCTTTCTATTCCTCTCCTTCTCTGTACAAAATCAATAAAATATATATATATGAACCCCTATCTTGTCCTTGGACTTCTTACTGAATCTATGCATCAGCTTCTTTCTCCAGATTGCTGAACCCTTTGCAAGGCTGGGACAAGAACCCTGGCACTTGTCCATCCCCCACCCCCTCTCTCTGATCACATACACACATGTGATCACAGTCACGAAGAGACAGGAGCAAGAGAAGAGTGAGATGCCTGGGACCAAAAATGGGAACCAAGTGTCCACCTCAGTAGGCTGCCCAGCAAATACGGGCGTTACTGTCGCTCTTCTCATTGTGGTCTCTGATCTAAAAAAATAAATTAAAAAAATGAAGATGCCCCCTGGGGAAAGAGGAGACACTCACGACAGCCTCTGCAGGGTGCAGGTGGGGTGCCTCAGAGTCATGTACAGTCGCTTGGCGCCCGCGTCCTGGAACTCACTGGCCGTGATGTTCAAGCACGTGAGGGAATGGTTCATCTCGAGGGAGGCGGCGAGGTCAGCCCACTGCTGGGCGGTGGCAGAGCAAGACACCAACCTGCAAGGAGACATGGGAGGATGTCACCCTGGAGAACCAAACCCCGGACCGTGGCAGGTACCTGGTTTGCAGGTTCGATCCCCAATCCTCTTGGTTGCCTCCTGCATGAGCCCTGACCAGGGCTCGGGCTGGAAGGAGCCTGCAACTAAGTATGAGTCCTTGATCAGAATCGAACCTGGGACCCTTCGGTCCACAGGCCGATGCTCTAGCCACTGAGCCAGACTGGCCAGGGCAATAATAATAAAGCTTTCTATACGATCTTGTCCTCTGATGGGAGCCTCTAGACATTCTTATTCCAGTGGTTCTCCAACAACTCTTACCTCTGCGGGAAACAGTACTGTTTCTAATCAGAATAAGAGATTCCCGTCCCCCCCACCCCCCGCCCCACCCCAATTTATGCAGAATTGCCGTATAGGCGCGTGGCAGCTGTCTTCACGTGCAGTGGAGTCTCTGTGCTGGCGAGAGGTACCTGAGATATTGCAGGTTACACTTTGGGTGAAGCAGGACCCCACACAGTATGGGAAGCACGTATTTCTGATCACTTCCTTCCAGGGTCAGGTGCGTGAGGCTCTCGTAACCACCGAGGATGGCGCAGAAGTGCCGGTAAGCATTGGCGGGGGAGAGATTTCGGAGGCTAGGGCGGAGAAAACAAACGTGAGCTCCTGTACCTCCACTGCACACGCACGGACACAGAGGGCTGCCCCATACTTACACATTAGAAACGGATTTCTTATTTATTTATTTATATTGTTTGAAGCATTACAAATAGTAGTACATATGTCTCCTCCCCCCTTAACCTTCCCCCAGCCTCCCTTACCCCCCAGCATATGCCTTCCCCTCCTTTTCCCTCCTCCCAGGTCTTGTGTCCATTGGTTATGCTTATATGCATGCATACAAGTCCTTCAGTTGATCTCTTACAGCCCCTGACCCCAACCTCCCCTGCCTTCCCGCTGTAGTTTGACAGTCTGTTCAATGGTTCTTTACGTCTATAACTATTTTTTAGAAATGAATTTCTTCTCATAGTTTCACCTTTATTGAGATATTACCAACAAATAAAAATTACACATATTCGCCGAAGCCGGTTTGGCTCAGTGGTAGAGCATCGGTGTGCGGACTGAAGGGTCCCAGGTTCGATTCCGGTCAAGGGCATGTACATTGGTTGCGGGCACATCCCCGGTAGGGGGTGTGCAAGAGGCAGCTCGTCGATGTTTCTCTCTCATCGACGTTTCTAGCTATCTCTCTCCCTTCCTCCTCTCTGTGAAATATCAATAAAATATATATTAAAAAAATTACACATATTCAAGGTCTACGATGTAATGTGTTGGACTTAATGCTTTCTAAAAAATATATTTTAATTGATTTCAGAGAGGAAGGGAAAGGGGCAGAGAGATAGAAGTGATGAGAGAGAATCATTGATCGGCTGCCTTCTGCAAGCCCCCTCTGGTGGGATTGAGCCCAGAACCCAGGCATGTGCCCTTGACTGGAATCGAACCTGGGACCTTTCAATCCGAAGGCCAACGCTCTATCCACTGAGCCAAACCGGCCAGGACGTGGACTTCATGCTTTGATACACATATACCTGGTGAGAGCGTCACCACCACCAAGCTAATTAGCATATCTGTCACCTCTCACCGCCACCACTTCCTTCCTTTGTTTTGTGGTGAGACCGCTAAGATCAGATCTCTTCATTCTTCTGGAGCTTCTTCACCTCGCATGTCTGCAACTCTGTACCCCTGACTAACATCACGATTAGACACTTCAACTTACATATTTTTTAAATCCTCACTGGAGGATATCCCCGTGGGGTCCCCCCCCAAATTGATCTTTAGAGGTAGTGGAAGGGAGGAAGAAGGGGGAAGAGAGAGAGGAAGAGAGAGAGAAAGACATATCAACTGGTTGCCTCCCATATGTGCCCCGACCGGGGCTGGGAATGGAACCTGCAATTGAGGTGCATGCCCTTGACCAGAAATTGAACCTGTGCCCCTTAGCAAAATCCCTGAGCAAAATCAGCCAGGACTCTTTTTTTTTTTTTTTTTTTTTTTTTTTTTTTTTAAATCCTCACTTGAGAATATGTATTTTTCATTGATTCTAGGGAGAGTGGAAGGAAGGAGGGTGGGGGGGAGAGAGAGAGAGAGAGAGAGCGCCCTAACTGGTTTGGCTCAGTGGATAGAGCATCGGCCTGTGGACTGTAAGGTTCCAGGTTTGATTCTAGTCAAGGGCATGTACCTTGGTTACAGGCACATCCCTAGTAGGGGATGTGCAGGAGGCAGCTGATCGATGTTTCTAACTATCCCTTTCCCTTTCTGTAAAAAAATCAATAAAGTATATTTAAAAAAAAAAAAAGGAACTCAGACGACTCCATAATCTCCGGCACCCCCTTGGGGTTGTAACCCCAGGGTCGCTTCTACTTACACCAGTCTCTGGAGGCTTCGGGGCGCGGAGGCGATGTTTTCACAGAGAACCCCGACCGCCGAGGCGCTGAGGGAGCTCTGGCTGAGGTCCAGGGAGACCAGGTTCCTGCTGGAGCCGACCGCAGCACAGAGGTCCGCCCAGAAGGGAAGCAGGTGCTGGTCGCTCTGGGACCTACAGTGACGCGACGAGGGCGGGGGCTTACCAACACGGCTGAGCGAGGACCCACATCTGTACGTCATCGCGGGGGTCCTTGGGGTTGCCCTGGGCACCCACCCCTCACACACAAGGACAATTCTGAAAGCTGAGGACGGCCCTGGCCTGGTAGCTCTGCTGGTTAGAGCGTTATCCAGGTACGTCAATGTTGCAGGTCTGATCCCTGGTCAGGGCACATAAACAATCAGCCAATGGCCCTAGCAGGTGTGGCTCAGTGGATAGAGCGTCGGCCTGTGGAGTGAAGGATCTCAGGTTTCATTCTGGTCAGGGGCACATGCCTGGGTTGTGGGCTTGATCCCCAGTGGGGGATCTGCAAGAGGCAACTGATCAATGATTCTCTCTCATCATTGATGTTTCAATCTCTCTGTCCCTCTCCCTTCCTCTCTGTAAAAAAAAGAACAACAACAATAAAATATATTAAAAAATAAAAGTCAAAGGAAAACTATCCTCAGGCGAGGATTAAAAAAAAGTAAGAGGAAATACTGGCGTTAAGTCACGCCAAGCAGGAGGCTGTCCACAATGGAGCTGGCATGCGGCTAAAGGTAAAAAACACACACTCTCTCCTTCTCTCTGAAGTCAATAAAATATATTTTAAAATATTAAACATTAAAGAACAGCCGGAACTGGTTTGGCTCAGTGGACAGAGCGCTGGCCTGTGGACTGAAAGGTCCCGGGTTCGATTCCGGTCAAGGGCATGTACCTTGGTTGTGGGCACATCCCTGGTGGTGGCTGTGCAGGAGGCAGCTGGTCGATGTTTCTCATCGACGTTTCTAGCTCTCAATCCTCTCTGTAAAAAAATCAATAAAAAAAATATATATTTTTTAAAATTATTAAACTTTAAAGAAACAAATACAGCCGACGTGGCTCAGTGGTTGAGCATCACTCTATGAACCAGGAGGTCACGGTTGGATTCCTGGTCAGGGCAGCGGATCCATGACTCTTTCATCATTCACGTCTCCCTCTCTCTCTCCCTCTCCCTCTGAAATCTATAAATATATTTAAAAAATAAAACAAAAACACAGATGGGGTAGGAAAGGCCAGTCCTCACCGCTCCGCCCACGGGCCTGGCTCCCGGGACCTGTCCTCCTCCGCGAAGATGCCCTTTTCCACCCGCAGCGAGAGCCTGCGCAGGGCCCGGCTGTGCCCGAGGCAGAAGGCCGCGTGCACCAGGTCCCGCTCGCTCTGCAGGTGCAGGGCCAGCTCCGTGACGGACGCCAGCGCCTCCCGCACCAGCGCCCCGTCCTGGGACTCGAACAGGCAGCGCAGCAGCTCCCGGGTGTCCGCCCTGGAGGAGGAGGGCCAGTCCCCGGCGGCGGAGCGCGCCGCCAGCAGCAGCTCCTGCCTCACCTCCCGGCACACGCGGCAGCCGAAGGCCGCCTCCAGCTCCCGGGCGCGCTCCTCGTTGGCCAGGCCGAACAGGAAGCGGCCCACGTGGGCCAGGCTGGGGTTTCGCAGCCGCTTCTCCTTGGAGAGCAGCGCGCGCACGTCCCCGATGCCCTGCGCTGCGCAGCCGCAGCCGCCCGCGCCCCCGGGGGCCCCAGCGCCGCCGTCCAGCAGGTAGAACAGGGCGGCCAGGAACTGCTGGACGCTGAGGTGCAGGAAGGCGTAGCAGCCCTCGCAGTCCGCGTCCGCCTGCAGCACCTTGCCTTCCAGGAAAGGGCGCAGGTCGGCCTCGCTGACGCCCAGCTGCCCGAGGTCTTGGCCATCGAACAGGGACGTGTGCGCCCAGACGCCCTGGGCGGCCAGGAGGCTCAGGGCGCGGAGCGCAGTGGGGAGGCGCGGGGCGGGGGCTGCCAAGTGGGGGCACTGGCCGCACAGGAAGCGCAGGAACAGCGAGGTGGGGGTCCGGCAGGTGGAGGCCGGGTCCTCCCCCTTGTCCAGCTGCCCCTTCAGGCAGGTGCACGCGACCCAGCACACGGCGGGCGCCGCGCCCATGCGGAACAGCGCCGGGCTGGCCTTCATGCCCTGGAAGGCGCGCAGGGCCTGGTCCTGCTGCTCAAAGTGCTCCAGGAAGTAGCCCCTGCGCTCCGCCTCCTGGAACCCCTCCACCTGGACCAGCAGCGGCTGGTCCAGCAGGAGCCGCAGCTCGCCCAGGGCCTCGGGGCGCGTGGTGACCAGCAGCGTGGCTTTGGGCAGCAGCTTCCTCTTCAGCAAGCTGCCCAGCAGGACGGGCACGGGCTTGGGCTCCCTCCAGTCGCCGCAGATGTCATGGAGGAGGGCGCCCGAGGGGACTCGGAGCTCGTCGAAGCCGTCGATGACCACCAGGACCTCCTGGCCCTGGGCGAGGACCTGGCGGCCGGCCTCCTGCGCGTCTGGACGCTTCTTGGCCAGGAGCTCCGCGAAGGTGCAGGCGCAGGCGCCCTGGCGGCCCAGCTCCTTGCAGCTGAGGTAGAAGGCGGAGGGCAGGGTCGCAGGGAGGTGGTCCTGGGCCCAGTCCAGCATCCACTTCTTGGCCAGCGTGGTTTTGCCCACGCCCGCTGCGCCCTGCAGCACCACGGTGTGCGGGAAGGGCCCGGCCGGCGCGTGGGGGTTGCAGAAGGGGACCAGGCTCTCATATCCCTGCGGGAATGTATGGGGGTGTTCGCTGGCTTTGGGCCAAAGGTTTTGCTTCCAGATGGGCCCGGACGTCTTCCATATGTTGCTGTACGCGTCCTGCTGACCTGCAGGGGGAGGAGAGGAGGGAGAGATGGGGTCTAGCTGGTTAAGCATTGGGAACAGAGTGCTTTGTGTCAAGTAGGAAAGAAACAGGCCACACACACACACACACACACAGTTACACACACCTACACAGACACACACACAGACACACACACACACAGACACACACAATACACACATAGACCCCCACACACAGACACACACAGACACACAGACATACCCACAGACACCCCCCTAGACACACACAGATACACACACACAGACACACCCGCAGACACCCCCCTAGACACAGACACACAGACACACCCGCAGACACCCCCCTAGACACACACAGACACAGACACCCCCAGACACCCCTCCAGACATCCCCCCAGACACAGACACCCACACACAGACACCCCTCCCACACATATACATAGACACACTCAGTCACACACACACATGTGCACACACACACACACGCATGCACACACACAGGCACACACACACAGGCACACACACACACACACACACAGGGAAGTGAGGTTTCTAAAAAGCCACCCGATGCCAAGCTCGGGCCAGGGAGATCTGAGTCACACCTGGCGTTTCTCCTTCCGAACTTTCCGTTGCGTCTTCTGGGTTGGTGACACTTCTGCCCTGTACTTGAGCGAGCTCTGTAATGTAGAGATTAGGGTGAGCTTGCCACAGAACAGGTGCATGTTACATGAAGAATGAACTGAATGGAGAGCATGGATGTGCCTGGAGGGTGCTGTGCTCAGTGATATACCTCAGACAGAGAAAGACAAATGCCGCACGATGTCACTTATATGTGGAATCTAATAAACAAAATAAACTATCAAAACAATAAAACAGACTTGCCCTGGATAGAGCATGGGCCTGTGGACCAAAAGGTCCCAAGTTCGATTCAGTTCAAGGGCACATGCCTCCCAGTAGGAGGCTTGCAGGAGGCAGCCAATCAATGATTCTCTCTCATCATTGATGTTTTTCTCTCTCCCTTCCTCTTGAAATCAATAAAAATATATTTACAAAAACCACAATGGACTCACAGATACAGAGAACAGACTGACAACTGCCAGAGGGGAGGGTGTTGTGGGTCTGGGTGAAAAAGGGGAAGGGACCAAGCCAAACAACAACAATAACTCAACTTTCCTGCCAGGAGACAACAGGGTTTGGGGAAAATAGAGAGTAAAGGGGGGTAAATGGTGATGGAAGGAGCCTTGACTTGGGGTGGTGAACACACAGTGCCATATACAGATGAGGTGTTGTAGAATTCTACCAGACACTTATATGATTTTATTAACTCATATCACCCCAATAAATTCAATAAAAGAGGGAAAGAATGTCATCGTAATAACTTTGTATGGTGCCAGGTGGGCACTAGACAGATCAGGGGGAACGTGTCTTAAGTTATGTAAATGTCTAATCACTATGATGTATACCTGGACCTATATTGTAGGTCATCTGTAATGAAAAAATAAAACGATAGAAAGAATACTTAAAAAAAATAGGTGTAGTTACTTCAGCGGAAGTGTGGTGATAAATAATAGGCTCTAGGGAGTAGAAAATCTAATATAAATTATTTTAAAAAATATACATTTTATTGATTTTTTTTTTTTTTTTACAGAGAGGAATAGAGAGGGATAGAGTTAGGTATATTGATGAAAGAGAAACATCGATTAGCTGCCACCTGCACACCCCCTACTGGGGATGTGCTGCAACCAAGGTACATGCCCTTGACCAGAATCAAACCTGGGACTCTGAGTCCACAGGCTGACGCTCTATCCATTGAGCGACACTGGTTAGGGCTAATCTAAATTCTTGGTCTACAAGTTGTGTTGGCATGTGTGACCGTATGGCGGCTGGGCTCACAGAGATGAGGAAAGCAAATTACTCCCTAAATTGAGTTTCAAGGCCTCGACCTGGTAGAACCATGAACAAGAAGTCATTGCTCTATTGAAGCTCAATGTGATTTGCCCTGGCCACTGGGACTCGGTTAGAGTGTCCCCCATGCAACAAATCAGGGCACATGCTGAGATTTCGGGTTTAATCCCCGGGCTGGGCATGTGAAGGAGGCAACCAATCAATGTTTCTCACTCATATCAATGTCTTCTCTCTCCTTCCCTCTCTTAACCCATCTTCCAACACACACACACACACACACACACACACACACACACACATACACACACACACACACAAATACAAAGAAAAACCCACCACCTGGCAGACTTGGGGGAAAAACTAATGCTACATGGATTAGGATAGTGGTTGGTAAACAGAGCCAAATATCAACAATACAACGATTGAAAATTTCTTTTGAGAGCCCAATTTTTAAAACTTAAACTCCTTCTAATGCCACTTCTCAAAATAGACTCGCCCAGGCCGTGGTCTATTTTGTGGAAGAGCCACACTCAAGGGGCCAAAGAGCCGCAGTTTGCTGACCACGGGACTAGGATACCAGTTGAGGTTAAGCCTTCATCATGGTTGCTCCGTGAGAGTCTCCCTTTGATACAATTAAAGTTGTCTGAGCATCTTAAAGAACATCTTAAAGTACAAAATCTAAGAGACACTCTCTCCAACGTACTCCCAATTTTCCTAGGAAGTGAATTCTTTTTCTTTCCAATAGTCATTTCCAACCTCTAGGGAGGAAACATCCTACATGAGATAGTGGGTGATTGTATATGTTGGAGAAAATGAGATTGGAGGGAGGTGGGGTTCCCAAATGAGAGGACATGGAAAAGGGGGGGAAGGGATTCTCTTAGCTTCCTATAACACTGGATGTTCCAAGACCAACCTGGCTCTTCTTCTCTTCCTCCTCCTTCTCTTCCTTCTTCTCCTTCTCTTCCTTCTCCTTCTCTTCCTTCTCCTTCTCTTCCTTCTCCTTCTCTTCCTTCTCCTTCTCTTCCTTCTCCTTCTCTTCCTTCTCCTTCTCTTCCTTCTCCTTCTCTTCCTTCTCCTTCTCTTCCTTCTTCTCCTTCTCTTCCTTCTTCTCCTTCTCTTCCTTCTTCTCCTCTTCCTTCTTCTCCTCCTCTTCCTTCTTCTCCTCCTCTTCCTTCTCCTTCTCCTTCATGCTGTTGTATTTTTTCCTCGTTTGCACATTTGGGTTCCCAAGTCTGGGCTATCCCTGAAGAAAAGAAGGGACATGATGGGCTTGTCGCTGTACCAGTATGGAGTCTTCAGTTTGGCAGAGGTGGGACTTCAAGGTGGTTCAAGGTCAACCATTGGGTCTCAGTGTTTAAGCCCAGGCCACATAGGAAAGGTGCCAAGGATGTACGAGAGATGTAGTGTGCCAGGCCATGACATCAGGCTTACATGCCTTTTCTGGCACGGGGCTACTGATGGAGGTAAGAATACATGGTCAGGACCCTGGACAGAGAGCTCAGTTGGTTAGCATGTCATCCTAACATGCCAAGGTTGTGAGTTCAAACCTTGGTCGAGGCACATACAAGAATCAACCAAGGAATGCATCAATAAGTGGAACAACAAGCCCTGACCAGTTTAGCTCAGTGGATAGATCATCAGCCTGTAGACTGAAGGGTCCCAGGTTTGATTTTGGTCAAGGGCATGTACCTTGGTTGTGGGCACATCCCCAGTAGGGAGTGTGCAGGAGACAACTGATCCATGTTTCTGTCTCATCGATGTTTCTAACTCTCTATCCCTCTCCCTTCCTCTCCATAAAAAAATCAATAAAATATATTAAAAAAAAGTGGAACATCAAGTCAACGTGCACCCTCACTTCAAAAAAAAGAAAAGAAAAAGAATACCCAGTCTGAGCCCTGGCTGTTGTGGTTCAGTGGTTAGAGAGTCAGCCCACGCATCGAAGGATTGTTTGATTCCCAGCCCAGGTCAGGTACATATGGGAGGCAACCAATCCATGTGTATCTCTCTCACATTGATGCTTCTCTCTCTTTCTCTGTCCCTTTTCCCTCCCTCTCCCTCTCTTTCACTAAAAATCAATGGGAAAAATATCCTGGGGTGAGAGGATCCACCAAAAACAAACAAAAACACACCAGGTGAAAACTATTCTTAGTTCGTAGGTGGGTGGGACTGGCTTTGTAAGTCAGAGCTGGCAACCACTGCTCCGTCGAGGCTGTGGCCGCAGGGCAGTCTAACACCTAGCGTATCTAGGTCCCAAGAGAAAGCTCTCTGATTTCTAGTGTCCGTACTGCCCCATGTTACCTCTCCACGCCTTACACCTCCTACCACCGCCGCCTGCGTGAGCGCGGAGAGGAAGTCTTGTACTTCTTGGCCGTCTGAGCGCTTGGCATAATATCTGTTCCCTAAATCCCCAAATCTCATATTAAAACAAAAACAAAAACAGAAAGACTGTCAAGGAGGTAACTTACCTGATGGTGGAAGCGCGTTTTCCTGAAGAGACTTCAAGGCCGCTTCTGAAAAAGCAGGGGGTGAGAGATGTGCAGCTTTCAGAGCCGGACCCTGAACTGAATACAACGCTGGTGTTCCTCACCGTGCTTTCAGACCTGTAACTTCCCTAATCCCTCACCTGACTGCTCAGCAGTTAGCGTCAATCTATGAACCTGGAGATCACGGTTTGATTCCCAGTCAGGGTACATGTTTGTATATGTATTTGTGTGTGTGTGTGTGTGTGTGTGTGTGTGTATATATATATAAATATACACTTGTATAGGTACATGTATAGGTATAATAAAGACAGGGGATACTAAGCTAAAAATGAAGCACCAGTTGAAATAAAACCAGAAAAAAAAATTAAATATATATTTGTATTAATTTCAGAGAGAAAGGGAGAGGGAGAGAGAGAGATGGAAACATCTATAATAATAAAAGCGTAATATGCTAATTAGACCACAAGTCCTTCCAGATAAGGTTGGGGTTGAAAGGGAAGCCGGTGTCAGCAGCCAGGGGAAAGGCCTACTCTTGCGCGAATTTTGTGCCTGGGGCCTCTAGTCAACCATGAGAGAGAATCATGGATCAGCTGCCTCCTGCATGCCCTCTACTGGGGACAGAGCCCACAACTTGGGCATGTGCCCTGACTGGGAATTGAACTGTGACCTTCTGGTTCATAGATCAGTGTTCAACCACTGAGCAACACTGGCCTGGTCAGAAATTTTTTAAAAAAAGAAAAAAAAGTCATAGGAGGCGGCTACTATGTTAGGTAGCAGAGCCCTCCAAGTAGGAATTATAACACTTGGGGATGTACACAGGCATCACCTAGGACAGTGATCGGCAAACCGCGGCTCGTGAGCCACATGTGGTTCTTTGGCCCCTTGAGTGTGGCTCTTCCACAAAATACATGTGCAGGAGCGCATGTACAGTGCGATTGAAATTTCGTGGCCCATGCACAGAAGTCGGTTTTTGGCCCGGGCGAGTCTGTTTTGAGGAAGTGGCGTTAGAACACTCAAGGGGCCAAAGAGCTGTGGTTTGCCGACCACTGACTTCGGAAACCTTGAAGAACCCCATGCCAATGGCTGGACCTAGAGGGTATAATGCTCAGTGAAATGAGCCAGGCAGAGAAAGACAAGGACCACAGGGTCTCAGGCATCTGTGGAATCTAAAGAACAAAACCAACCAACCAACCAACCAAAGATAAAGACTCAGAGATAAAATTGGTGGTTGTCAGATGGGAGGGGCTTGGGTTGCTGAGTGAAAAAGGGGAAGGGATTCACATGCCCAAATTGGGCCCAACCCATGTGGCTCAGTGGTTGAGCCTTGTCCTATGAACCAGAAGGCCACAGTTTGATTCCAGGTCAGAGTCAGGGCACATGCTTGGGTTGTGGGCTCGGTCCCCAGCGGGGGGGCATGCAAGGGGCAGCTGATTACTGGTTCTCTCTCATTACTGATGTCTCTCTCTCACTCCCTCTTCCTCTCCCTTCTCTGAAATTAATAAGAATATGTTTTAAAAAGTGCAGATAGAAGTCACAGAATAGTCATGGGATGTAAAGTACAGCATAGGGAATATACACTGAGTGGCCAGATGATGATGATTTCTGGACGCATAATAATCTGGCCACTCAGTGTATTTGTATATAATTAGAGGCGCGGTGCATGAATTCATGCATGGGTGGTCCTTCCAGCCTGGCCATGGGGAGGGGACATGAGTGGTTGGCTGGCCTGCTTGCTGGTCGAACTCCTGGTTGAGAGGATCATTTGCATAATAGCCTTTAAAAAAATATTTTATTGATTTTCCACAGAGAGAAAGGGAGAGGGATAGAGAGCTAGAAACGTCAACGAGAGAGAATCATTGACCAGCTGCCTCCTACACCGCCCCCCCCCTCCCCCAAATGGGGATGTGCCCCAAACCAAGGTACATGCCCTTGACCGGAATCAAACCTGGGACTGAAAAGTCCACAGACCGATGCTCCATCCACTGAGCCAAATCGGTTTTGGCTGCATATTAGCCTTTTATTCTATAGAATACACACGGAGTGGTCAGATTATTATTCATTCAGAGATCATCATCATCTGGCCACTCAGTGTAGTCAACAGTTTTGGAAGGGCGGGATGCAGGAGAGATTAACCAGAGAACTTATAGGCACATTTGCACCACCCACGGACACAGACAGTATTGCCATGAAGGCCTGGAGAGGAAGGGGGAGTGGGGTAGAGGGAGTCGATGGGGAAAGAAGAGGGGACATCTGTAATACTTTCAACAATAAAGATAAACAAACCAGAGTTGTAATAACTATGTATAGTGTCTGATCGGGACTACAGTTATTGCTGGAATCATTTGGTAAGGTATGCGAATGTCACCAAGACCAGTTTGGCTCAGTGGATAGAGCGTCAGCCTGAGGACTGAAGGATTCCAGGTTCGATTCCAGTCAAGGGCATGTGCCTTGGTTGCGGGTGCATCCCTGGTGCGAGGTGTGCAGGAGGCAGCTTGTCTCTCTCTCCCCTCTCCCTTCCTCTCTGTAAAAAATAAAAATATAAAAAAGGTATGCGGATGTCTACCCACTATGCTGTCCACCTGAATCTAATATGAAATAATATGGAATGTCAAATTGTAATAATAAAAAAGGAACTACATGCCTAGGGGGAGCCATAGATCAGTGAGTGACATGGGCGTCTCCAGCAATCGGTGCCAGATGTCAGTATACTTCAAACTCCCTAGGAGATCGCCACGAACAGTGAGAGTGGGGAACCCCATGACATAAAACATGGCTCTCCACTCAGGGGACACTTGGCCACATGTGTAGACATCTTTGGTTATCACCAGCAGGGGGGTGAGGGGGTGGGGGGCAGTGTGCTGCAAGCATGTAAGGGTTAGAGGTGTTGGGATGCCAGCACCTGGGTACCAGGGGTGCTGCTAACTATCCCACAGGGCATGGAACGTCCCTTTATTTCCCCAAGAGAGTCACCCAGCCCCCAATGCTGCTGACTTAAAGCACCGTAGGGGTTGCAATGTATGAATGTGTGTAAGGATGTTTATAGACCTATTATACTACATGGGGAAGAAAACATTATATAGTAAGTAGGAATTAAAAACAAAACAGAGCCAAAACTGGTGTGGCTCAGTGGATAAGCATCGGTCTGTGGACTGAGGAGTCCTGGGTTCAATTCTGGTCAAGGACATGTACCTTGGTTGCGGGCATATCCCCAGTAGGGGGTGTGCAGATGGCAGCTGGTGGATGTTTCTCTCTCATTGATGTTTCTAGCTCTCTATTCCTCTCCCTTCCTCTCTGTAAAAAAAAAAAATCAATAAAATATATTAAAAAAAGAGAAATAGCTAGGATATAAGTGGTGAGGATATTAAGTGGCGAGGATATAAGAACAATATAGACGGATGAACAAGAACAGACCCAGAGATAAGGAGCCATGGATCAGACTGTTGGACCTCAGAGGGAGGGTGGGGATAAAAGGGAGAGATCAACCAAAAGACTTATATGCACACATGTGAGCCTAACCAGTGGTCAAGGACAATAGGGGGGTAGGGGCATGACTGTGGGGGGTGGGGGATTGGAATGGGGGGTTGAGGACAAATATGTAATTACCTTAATCAATAAAGAAATTAATAAAAAATAAAAAAAATATTTTTTAAAAAAGAAATAGCTAGAATATAATTGGCGAGGATATTAAGTGGAGAGGATATAAGAATGACACTTTGTGTTGAGCCCAGGTGGCACCTCCGAGGTTCCCTGTTATCTCTCTGTTTCTCAAACTCTGGACACCCCCTCCCCCCCAGGACACAGGGCGGCCTCCCGCCAGCTCACCTCTGAGCTCGTCCTTGGCTCTCTTGGACAGATCCGTCCGGTTCATCTTGTCGAAGACCTGGATGGTCACCATCTCCACCCAAAAGACGGGGCAGGAAGTGGTGAGGATCTCCGCCAGCTGCTGCCCGCTGGCCTCATCCACCTCCGCCTGGGAGACATGCTGCAGTTCATCTTGTGGGGGAAGGGTCCTCAGCAGAGACTTGAACTTGCTCAGCTCCTCCTGCTCCAGCTGCTCCAGGAGAGGTCGCAGGTTGAAGTCCATCTTGTCCTGTGTGGGAGAGTGGAGCTTTTGGCCGTGGACAGCTACATGGCCACGAGAAAGAAGGGAACCCTTATCTTTTACAACAGCGTGGACAAGGAGGGGCCTGGAGAGTAGTGTGCTAAGTGAAATAAGCCAGTCAGAGAGAGACCACGATCGCATGATCTCACTTATACATGGAGTCTAATCAACAAAATAAACTGACCAACAAGATAGGTCCAGAGACATGGAAGCATGGAACAGATGGACAGACCTCAGAGGAGGAGGATGGAGGATAAAGGGGAGGAGCAAGGCTAACCAAAGAACACATATGCATCTAGGCATAGCCTGGGACACAACAATAGTGTGGGGGAAGGCCTGGGGTGGGGCAGGGGTGGGTGGAGAGAGGCAAAGGAGTGGAAAATGGGGGACATCTGTAATACTGTCAACAATAAGCTAAAAATGAATAAATAAAATAAAAGGCAAAGTAAAAAGTGGCGGTACATTTACACAATGGAGTACTATGTGGCTGTAAAGAAGGAAATCCTTCCTGGCCAGTGTGGCTCAGTGGTTGAGCAAAAGACCTATGAACCAGAAGGTCACGGTTCAATTCCCAGTCAGGTCAAGGGCACAGGTTGTGGCTCATTCCTCAATGTGGGGCATGCAGGAGGCAACACATCCATGATTCTCTCCCATCACTGATGTTTTATCTCTCTCTTCCTCTCCCTTCCTCTCTGAAATAAATAAAAATGCATTTTTTTTTTAAAAGAAGGAAGTCTTACCTTTTGCAACAGCATGGATAGACATGGAGATTAGACAAATACCATATGATCTCACTTACATGTGGACTCTAATGAGCAAAACGAACCGACACACAAAATATCGATAGAAGCAGAGGCTTGGATGCAGGGGACAGACAGCTGGAGGAGGGAAGGGGAGTGGGAGGGGCTGGACAAAAGGAGGTTAAGGGATTACTCAAAGGACATCTGTGCATAACCCACAGACAACAGATGAGGGTGGTGGTGGCCAGAGGGGGTGGGGACAGACTGGATGGAGGTGGGCAAAGGATGGGAAAATGGGGGACCTTAGTGTCAACAATAAAAATAAACAAACAAACAAACAAAAAAAACGACCATGGCAACTACCCCATTCCTAATGCCATTTTATGCAAATCAGGTGTTACTCATCTAATTTAGCCCTCGTTGAAAGGCTTGAATGAGATCACGTGTGCGTAAGGACGATCCTTTTAAAACAGGGAAAGGCACTGAAGACTGATTCATCTGCCTCTCAGCATGACGATTATTGTTTGGCTCATTTTTGATTCTTATATTTCCAGTAGGACATGATCTCACTCATCTAGGGGAAATGGTGAACAACATAGACAGATGAACAAGAACAGACCCAGGTGCAAGGAGTCATGGGTCAGACTGTTGGGCCTCAGGGGGAGGGTGGGATAAAAGGGAGAGACCAACCAAAGGACTTGTGTGCACACATATGAGCCTTAACAGTGGTCAAGGGCAATAGGGGGGGTGGGGGCATGCATGGAGGTGGGTGGGGGATTGGAATGGAGGGTTGAGGACAAATAGGTGGTACCTTAATCAATAAAGAAATTAATGAAAAAAAATAAAACAGGGAAAGGAGATTTAGAGAGATGAATGACTGTCTTTCTCTGCCAGCTGTGGCCTGTGGAAGCAAACACTTGAATCAGACCAGCCTTCCTTCAGGTGCTGTGATCTCAGGAATTGACTCCCATAGACGACGACCCCCCCCCCCCCCCCGCCCGTCTGTCCGTGTCCCCCCCCCCCCCTTCCGCCCCCGCCTCCGAACCCCCATCCGGGCATCAGCTGCAAAAACAAGGGCATGTCAGAAGAGAAGCACCAACTGGTTAAATCCAGAATAAAGTTTCCTGTGAAGGCTGGGAGACAGCCGATGGAGTGAAATGGGTCAGAACCTGGTGGGCCTTTGAGGCTGTGGATGGTTAGACCACCCGCATCGAGTAGCTACAGCGGGAAGAGAAAAGTCACACCTGCGACGGGTCCACAATCACAGCAACGAACCATATCTTGCACCCAAGGAGTGTGTCTACACCCATGTGTTCAATGGTTGTATATTTACATTGAGATATAACTGTAAAATCAGAAGAACAAAATAAACAAAGAAAACAAAACAGGAATGGATTCACAGATACAGGGAACAGACCGAGTGAGGGTTGCCAGAGGGGAGGAGGGTTGGGGGACTGGGGGACAAGGAAGAAGGGATGAACAGGTACAAGCTGGTAGTTACAAAATCGTCACAGGGATGTAAATCACAGCCTAAGGAGTAGAGTCGATAATATTTAGCGGCCATGTGTGGTGCCAAAATGGGTACTAGACTTATCGGGGAATTCACATCATGAGTTCTATAGATACCTACCCACTGTGCTCTACACCTGAAGCAGATATAAAGTAATAGTGAATGTCAGTGTGGTTTAAAAATGTTAACCAACAAAAGAAATGTTAACGGGAGATTCTTAGGACTGGTCTTGACCTTCCCGTCTTTAGACTGTGTTTTATCTGTAAGAGGGCATATTTTCTAGAACAGGGGTTGGAAAACTGCGGCTCTCGAGCCACACGCGGCTCGTTGGGCCCTTGAGTGTGGCTCTTCCACAAAATACCACGGCCTGGGCGAGTCTATTTTGAACAAGTGGCGTTAGAAGAAGTTTAAAAAATTGGGCTCTCAAAAGAAATTTCAATCGTTGTCCTATTGATATTTAGCTCTGTTGACTAATGGGTTTGCGGACCACTGGAACCTAGGCCAACGATTCAGCTGCATGATGGAGGCCCGTCAGAGAAGGACCCCAACTCTTGTGTTTGGCAGACAAGGTCTTAAGAAGAGCAATTTCAGGGGAACGGTAGGGCAAGAAGCTAGACTGTGAAGGGCAGAAACATGCATGAGGTGTCTTGGCGTGGAGGTATGGGCTTAAAATAAATGGAAGGACAAATCCACCTCTCTCTCTCTCTCTCTCTCTCTCTCTCTCTCTCTCAGTCTCTCCCCCCCCCCACCCCCACCTCTCAAGTCAATTTTTAAAAATATCTGTATGTGCCCAGCTGGCTTGCCTCAGTGGTTGAGCATCAGCCTATGAAACAAAGTTATACTTTTATTTCTAGGAACTTAGCAAAGAAGAGTGAAATCAGAGATTTGATACTGGCTTCAGGGAAAATGGGAGTTTGGACCTGGCTTCCCATGGCCACACATTAGCCTCAACGTTGACCACGGGGTGTGTCTCTTACCCTTAAAACGTTCATTGCAAACAGCACGCTTTTCACACAAAACACGTTAGTTTTATGATGTTCTCATTTGGCCAACGTTAATCCAACTTACATTTGTATCCAGTGATCTTAGGAAATTGAGCTTCAGCAAGAGAGGGAAAAAACCCCCACTAGTCAGTTATAGGAGTCATGGTCAGAGGGAAATACGACTTGAAATTTCAAAGGTTTAACATTAAAAAGAAAGGAGGGGAAGCATTTTTATTGGAGACTTAACAGCTGAGTGAAGACTCGTGGAGTAAAGAAGAAGCCAGGATGCTACTCACCTCGCCCGCGTCCTCGCCAGCGTCCGGACCCATGCTCTGACCAAAGACACCTGAGGTTTGGAAACCCGCCTATAAGAAGGGTTTCTTTCCACCCAAGCTCTGTGATTGGCCCGCTACCGAGAACTTCCCGCCTCCAGCGTGATTACTTGATAGGTGGAGACCCATTCTCTAATTTGAGCTTCCATTCCCCATCGGGTTCTCCACCTTGTTAAACTCACCTGCCTCGAGCATGGCTTTCAAGTACCGAGGCCCAGAGAGTCTGCTGTGTAGGTCGGTGGGGGCTGCCCGGATGTAGGGGCTCTCTTAAAGAGTCCCAGGTGATGGCAATTGGGGCCAAGCTTGAGAACCAGGGCTTGGGACCTTCAGCTGTGATTTAGCTGCTTCCTATTGTCATACAGATATTTTTAAAAATTGGAGAGAGAGAGAGAGAGAGAGAGAGAGAGAGAGAGAGAGAGAGAGAGAGAGAGAGAGAGAGATGATTTATTATCCCACTTATGCTACATTCATTGGTTGGTTCTTGTATGTTAGGGGTTGAACCTGCAACCTTAGTGTGTGTGGAGGATGCTTTAACCAACTGAGCTACCTGTCCAGGGCCAATATATATATTTATTTTTGAAAGTACATTTATTTTATAAGTACCGCACTCTAACCGATTGCGCCACTGGAGCTCCTGAAAGTACATTTATTTTACATTAAACTTTTTGTCATACAACCTTCAAGATCTGGCCTATACTCCACACTGGAAGACTCATAGAAGACACTGGAAGACAAATACCGTACAATCCCACTCATATGTGGAATTTCATGAACAAAATAAACGAACAAACAACATAGAAATAGACTCATAGATACAGAGAACAGAAATGTGACTTATCTAAATCACGTTTCTGTTCTCTGTATCTATGAGTCTATTTCTATGTTGTTTGTTTATTTGTTTATTTTGTTCATGAAATTCCACCTACGAGTGGGATTGTATGGTATTTGTCTTCTTCTGACTGGCTTATTTCACTTAGCACAATACTCTCCAGGTCCAAAACAGAATTTGAAGTGAAATAGTCAACAGCTCCATTTTCAGAGCAATGTTTCAGAAACGCAGGCATCTTCAACCTCTGAGACACATCACACTGGTTAGAATACATGCCATCTGTGTAATGGATATGTGAGGGTCACCTGGTCAACCACCTTATACTCAAGGACTGGAGAGCAACATAAGTCCATACCGGGAGTCTGGGAAAACACTTCTCTGTTAAAAAAGAAATTGCTGCATGGTTCATAGGTGAGAATATTTGCTCTCGAGAATAAAATTATTCCTTACCATAGCATGTTTTACAGGGAAATTGAGATGGCATGTCCAGTGTTCAAAGTTTGTATTTCATTTTTTAAAATCCTCATTTGAGGATATTTTCCCATTGATTTTTAGAGAGGGTGAAAGTGAGGGGAAGAGAGAGAGAGA